GTGCTAGGACAGTGTGCAACGACACTGCCGCGTGCTAAATTGGTGCGGCAAGGCCCGGCCGAAAAATGTGTGTGGCTTGGGCAAGGGTAGGAAGACTGAGCTTGAGGCTTTGTCCTGTCGCATGGCTGTGCAAGTATAAACAGACAATCCTACCGCCATTGGTCAAGGGAAAGGTTGAGAGAGAAGGGAATAATGTAAAGAAATTGGAAAATGTTAATGAGGACCGCGTTTGATTCGTAATGAATGTAAGCTGCGATTTGATGTATATTTCAAATACTCCGGTGCGACAAGGGCCTTTGACATGCTTGTTTGGTCGTTGTAAAACGCGCAACAGTGGTCTTGTCAAAAATGGTTTTATGTCAGCGCTCTTTGTCCTGTCACTGCTGGGTCTTTCATGTATGTGAGTGTGTTTCATTTCTCTTGTGGATATTCCAAATTATTTTGGTCAGGGAATAGCGCCAACATCTCCGCGACTTTACTCTGCTTTCGCGTTTCTTGTCGTTGGATCAGTACATGCACCGGGCATTGTACTATGTAATGAACCAGCAGCTAACAATTTAACCCCAAACTAACTAGTAGGTCGCAATTCTTGATTTTTTTCCCCCCTCGCTCTCTCCCCGGAGTTATTTTTGATGATGAATGCATTTCTTGAGGACTTGGCATGATTGGAGTGTATGATGCAGGCACTAGGGGATTTAATCCCCCCTGCTCACTGACTTATACTTTGATACATGCAAGTCGGGCTTGTTGAGTGGAGGGGAAAAACGACACGGAAAAAAGGAGGGGAAAAAATGGATCCAGCAGTTTTGGGTCTTATTGTCTGGAGCTTAAGCAGAAAATTTAACGTCTACATGGTGCTGTCAAAACATGTGAGCCCTGAGTGGCTCTGAACTCTAGCCGGTACAATAGCGGCTTTTGTTGGCTCGATGAAATGCCGGCTTTAGGGAGTTTAAAGCCCCATACTGCTGAGCTAACGGAGCTTGCACTACTTTGCTTTCGAGCGGAGAGGATTAAACAACAAGGTGGCACCCAGCCTGTCAGGTAGCTTGCCAGCGAAGGCTGAGCGGGGACTGGCAAACTTATGTCAATACTGGGAGGTTTTTTTGGCAGGCAGCGGGCTGTGAAATGGCCCTTTCTGATGGTATGTTTATACAGGCTTCTTAGCTGCCTGCCTCCCACTGTGAACCCAAACCCTGAGTTTCCCACCAGTGCCTACGCCGGTGACAACGGGACAAAAAGGAACCCACTCCATGCTGAGAAAGAGATACAGTTATTCACTCACATCGCTTGCAACTTCCAAGTTCACTGCTTCCACTTCTATGCTTCCAATATTTTTTTTCCGCCAGTAATTCTTTTGTTGCGCTTTTCTGAAAAGCAAAATCTCGCTCTAATCCAGATGGGCGCATTATGTGAAAAGGATTGAATGAAACTCAGCCGATTAAGCAATGAGGCAGTTACTGTACAGTATACTTTTCCCGCAAAATGCATCTATTGTTAAGCCCTGTGTTGGGATTATAAAGAAACGGCATCGGAGCTGAAATATGGACGGGAAAGTTAGCAGTTCACAAAGATCCTTATTGGCTATTACCGTGGCAACATGCATCTTGCCTGAAAGTATGCATGTGTATTTTCCGTCCTGACACTAATTTCATGCTGAATGCAACAGTGTCCGTTTTTTAAGATTGTAAAAAGGTCATTTTGAAGTTCTTGTACTTTTTTGATTCCTCAAGTAAAATATTGCCACAGTATTTGAAAAGAAGATTTTAGTTGTGCTTTTATTTTTCTGTGTTCATGGAGATTGATTAGGCCCAAAAAAATAGTTCTGGTTCCAATTACATGACATTTCAAAATAGGGTAGTTAGGAAAAGTTTTGTTGTTTGGCAATTTTTTTTTGTACGATTATATGGAGGTGTCTGCATGTAGTCAAGGGTAAAAGATAGTAATTGATGATTTTTGGTTTGTTTCCCCTCATTCCCCCCCCCCCAAAAAAAAATAGGGTAGGGGCTGTCAAAGTAGGGTAGGTAGGGTAACCGGAAGCAGAAGTATTATTTTTTTGGCCTTAATGCTTTTCCTTGAAGATCATTGATCAATCCTCCATGGATTGTTTAATATCTTGAGGAAAAAAATCAGTAGTCGGGTGACCAGAAATCAGTTGTGTGTTTTATCCTACAGGTCGTGCAGGAACCCATCCATAACTGTTTCCTGCATTTGTTGTTTCTTGTCGAGTAATATCCTGTAATTATTCCATCATTCCACCGGCCATGTTTGTTTTAACTCTGTGTTTATCCTTCCTTTTTCAATCCTGTCCATACTTTTTAACCCCCCCCTTAAAAAAAAAAAGGTTGTAGAAATCTATACACCTGACGAGTTGGGTTTGTGGGTTGATTTTTTCTTGACTACCCATGTGGCCTGCTATAGTTCAGAGTTCAGTGGTACCGTTTGCATTACCCTTGAATCAATAAACCATGTCTGAGTAGTACAAGCAATACGCATTTGTAATGGAGCAGTGTAGCCGGCCTGTCAGCCCTCCACCGTTGCTGTTTTAAGCTTTGACAGCTTCTGAGCACTCAGATCTGGAGAGCGGGACCGGCAGAGATTGAGAGAAAAGAGACAGTGCAGACGTGTTATTTATGACAAACGTCACAATCTGAGAATCTTTCAGGATCAGGACTGTTTCACATAGTCCCTGTTCTGTTTTGATAATACACACATGACTGGCGATCGCATACTTAAAAGTGAGGTCACAAAATTTGATTAACTCAAAAAAATATACATCCCTTCTTGCGCCTCCCCCAGTACTTAAAAAATAAAAAAATCCCCCTTTTCATTTGGATGAAAAGCTTTTCTCTGCATGTTCATTCATCTATCATTGAGTAGGGTTCTGCCATAAATCTTGTAGATACAGTGTATTTGGATCTGATAGTGTAAGGGAGAATAAAATGCTGATTCAGTCATGTTGAAAGGTTGAAATTGAATCTGGCTAAGATAAAACTCAGGGAGTGGTGAAATAAATGGGTCTGGCATGGATGATTTTTATCGCTTGTTGTGTCAGCATCATGTTTCCATGTTGTCACCCAGGTTTAAACAGTTATTTACATGTAATGTTCAAGTGATTCATGTTCTGGTGATAATGTCAACATGGCAGTGATAAAACAAATGACAAATGAGGAATGAAGCAAAGATCAAACATACCATGCCATAGCCACCAGATGGATTTTTTTTGTAAATTTTTTTTTTTTTGGGGGGGGTGTTTCGGGTTTATAACTGAACTGGACGAGGTAGACTCCAGAAGTCTTGTTCCACCTACCAATCAGTGTCACTGCCCTCCTACTACTAGGGTCTTAAGAGCTTCCAGCTCACATGATGGTTTGGAATCCAGATTGATGATTTTTGGCCAGGAGAGTTATCATTGACAAACTCGAAGGGCTTAGATTGCAAAATGAGTGGAGCAAAGTTTGGATTACTTTGGGAATCCCATGTTTGCCATCAGTATCTCCCCTTGGTATTCCTAAGTCCTAATTACAGTTCTCGTTTCTACAACACGTATTGCCCCGTAGCGGATCGGAAAACATCCATCAGCTTTAGGAGAGTTTGAAATAAGGACGGGGAGGTTTTCGATTAAAACCCAATTGAGGTTAAAGCTCTCCTGTCATTAGTGTTGGTTTTTTTCATGAGTCATGTTTGTCGATGACAGACTTGGGAGTCCTGGCCATGAATTCCAGCTGAAATTAGCCAAGCAATTAGGGTCCAGTGATCATCAGAGGAATGGTGTTAGGCCGCCCTAACGACCTTGTGTGAACAGACGAAGCTGGTGTGGCCATGAGACCAAAAATAAACAGCCAGCTGACATTTTGCTTTGTTGAAACCACTCTTCTGAGAAAAAAACTCAACAAAAAAATAAAAGCCAGCTTAAAAATGTCAAAGCAAATGTAAAGGAAACAAAATTGAGGGAGGGAAAAAAAATGAAGGAATTGACGGACAGAAAACAGCCTGGGCAAGGTCATAGCGGATTAATTATAAATATAGGGTGAGCTTGATTCAAGATGAAGCTATAATTGATAGCGTGTATGAGGCTGGATGGATCGCTGTTGATGTAGTGGTGTTGAGGATGTGACTTGAGCTTGCTTGGGCCAGGAACACTGCCTGGTGTGGATGGGGTTTGTTCTGTGCTCACGATGCGGTGCTGAGATGTCTAAGAGCAGGCGGTGATCAGATTGTGTTATTGCAGCCGAGCAAAGGTGCCAGGGTCCCGTACGTGTGTGCTCAGTTATTTGGCTTATTTGGTCAGCTTTGCTGGTCTGTTCAGTGTAACCGGTTTGTTTTCTGCAAAGCAGGTGACGTTTGCGAGTTAGGAGTTTGGATGGCTCTTAAATCTGCAGAGCCTGTACCTGCGCATTGAAATTGACGTCTTCTGCAAATCTTGAATCAACAGAAAAACAACTCAGCAGAATTCTTTGTCTGAAGATTAACTTCAAGAGCTTTATTTTTTATTTTATGTTTTGAGTTTAATAAGAAAGTTTTGAGTTTCATAAACCCCAGGTTAAGCTAGTGTTTCTTTCAGCTACAGAATTTCAACAGGAATTAGCTTACTCTTCCACACAAAGGCAATTTCAGTTGTACCCAACTCAGCCTAGTATTCCGAATATTGTCTAACAATTTGATTGCAAGCATTACATCCAAGAAATGTTTCTCCTAGAAAAAATACTCACTTGTTATTCTTCAAGCCTTACGTTTTTAGACAAGTCCAAAGATTTGTCAGATTATTTTTCATTGGGAAAAAAAGAATTGATGTCTACATTTGTGATGTCAATTGACAAAAGTACATGTAACTCCTTGTTGACCTGTTTTCTATTTCAGAAAATATACGCAGCAGTTATTTTAATTTTAATTAGCAATTAACATTTCTTGACGGTATTTTTCTGAGAATGCAGATTACAGCTTAACCAGGAAAAAAAAAAAATCTAAAAAAATGTCTTATTTTTGTTTGTCTTTTGCCACAGGTTTGAAAAGATGTCGATGGACTACAGCAAGCAAAAGTGCCTGGTGTGCGGCGACAAGGCGAGCGGCCTTCACTACACCGTGGTGTCCTGTGAGAGTTGTAAGAGTTTCTTCGGTCGTAAGATCAAGAGTAAAGCCAAGTTCACCTGCGAAGCTAACGGCAACTGTGTCATGGATCTGTACACCCGACGACACTGCCCTGCTTGCAGGTTAAAGAAATGTCTGGATGTCGGCATGAAACCAGAAAGTAAGTTGTTTTCCTGAATTAATATTTTTTTATGCTAGTCATGAAAGCCATTATTGCAATCCTAAAGAAATCTTTGGAGAGAAGACAGTGAATTAAATTCACTGATCTAACTATCATCCAAGTACCGTTGGGACTCAAAGCTCAATCAGTAGCTGGCCCAAGTGGGATTGGAATCTTGACTATAGATTTTGAAGACGAAAATACCTAAATGTTTCTTAGAAAATACTTTGACTAATTCTGAGAACCAACTTGAGGCTGTTGATAAGGTACCTAGTATCATAGATATATTCATTCCTTGACTTGAAACAACTTTTACAATTTGATGAAAAATATGTTAAAATAATATTCATTACAAAGTACAGTTCGAAATGCTGATATTTTTGTCACTTTTTTTTGGTAAGAAATAGAAAGCAAATATTGGATTTTGTGCGTGAGTTTGTTGATTGCAGGATTTCTGGGCCTGGCTGTATGTTGATAGATTGGGTTTAAATGTTACTGGTACATCTCTCCATCTTTGAACCAAAGGTTTGCAAAATGACTTAAGATGCAAGATGAACTGAGAAACTGTACAGAAACGTACAGGGATTTTTCAAACCCTTTTAAACTTGTCCTAGTATTCCTTCTTTTTTGTTTCACTGATTATGTTGTGTACATTATACCATTATATAATAGGGCATCTAATTTCAATCAAAGATGCTTGTTCATCTGTCACCTTTTTAACCATGGATCAGTTCTTCAAAATATGTTGAAATCACACAAATTTAATAACACTAGGAAAGTAATTTAGTAATTGCTTAAAATATTCACACTATCAAAATCTTTGAACAGCAAGGTATGGCATCAGGATCATGAATATAATACCTGTTCTATTGGGAGTGATGTAGGATCAAAATTCAGACAAAGCTTACTGTTTGGCAAGTCCCTTCTGCATTGCTGTGTAACATGACTCCTTGTTCAGTTTCAAGTTTATTCTCTCTGGTGTTGAAAACAACTCTCAGGGCTTTCATCCAGATTGAATGAATCACTCACACAATGCCCCTACAAACATGATCCACAGGCGTAAACTGTTTGGATAATAAAATCCACATTGGGATTTATAAATATCAGAAAGCAGCTTTTGTGGCTCAAAACTGTACCGAAATGTTGCATTGGACAGTGAAATTTCAGTCAGACATCGGAAATTTATCAATCATTCACCACAATTATTCAAACATATTTTGTAATGTAACTTGTAAGAGCATTATAAGTGCACATTTGGCAGCTGAAAATTGATTGATTTTTTTGTGTCTACTTTTACCCTCTGCAACGTCACACATGCTTACGTTACATACCAAGTGTGGACATTCCATTGCTTTCATGTAGTTAAGAAAACCAGTTCAAAAAACTAATTTTTTTTCAAACTGTGAAAACTCTTTCAACCCAATTTTTTTTTTATGATCCCCTTTATTGTTTCTGTTCATTTTGCCACATATAAACCTAACTCAAAAATGCCTCTAAACCTGTTTTCCAGAAAGGGGGAAACACTGTGTGGACTTGCCCAAGTCCACACAACGTCGCCTTTACCTGGTTTATGTGGACCTCTGTTGTTCGGAAGTCCACACAGTGAATGTAATGCCTACCCACCATGGTTTCACACTCAGGAATCTTGGAAAGTTGAACAAAAAGCCTACGTACCGGGTATCGCCAGCTGATATTACCCAGCCCTGCATTACTTACCTTTAAGCCACTGGTTGCTTATTATTAAATCGTTACACGGAAGCCTTCACACTAGGCTGCCGTAATTGATAATTGAACCCCCCTCATATCTCCCTCTGATGCTGAAACTTACGCAGTGGGTGCCGTTTAGTTAGCTGGTTCCATACCCCTGTAATGGCATGGCTGAGTCTGCTCTGTCCTGCTTCAGTGAAGTACTATATCAATCAATTTGAAATGAATCTGACTGAAAATTGTGTGCTGGAAATAAATGCATATACCGGTACCGGTATGTCACATTTAAAGCAAGTTTTAAACCTTTGAGCATCATACATTCCTCCATGATACATGTACATGTCATAAATGTAGGATATTAGACTCTGTCCAGTCTAATGAAACATTGAACCCTGCTTGATTTTTTTTTTGGGGGGGGGGTCCTTTTTTAACGCACACATACAAAATGTTCTATGATCCTTCACGACCAAACCATCTGGTGGCAGCCATATCAGTCTTTTAAGCCTGGACTTAGTGTAGGGCCTGCAAGTACATGTATACTGTCCTATCAGTTAGCACATGTGTTAATTGCCAGAAATCTTGCCATAGTTACCCACAACTAGAGTAAATGCTTTGTTTAAAACCGGCATTTTGCCAAAGATGTGACCTATTCCAGCAGCCTTCACCTCTGACTGACGTTGACTTAGTTTCATATTTCACTCATAGCCTAACTGCTCCTCAAGGTCCCATCAATATGGTTTAAATGACTTTTGTTTTTGTCAAGAGTTATGCAGGCATGCAACTTTTCCTCGGATCAGCTGATTTCCTCTTTTATTACTTCGCATGTGTGCCATTAAAAATAGAAAAACACTGTACAAAGTCTTAGAAAGATTTGAATTTCCTCTTTTTTGGTGACTTCCTGGTCGCATGCCTGGTTATGTCAAAGTAGACATGGAATGGAATGATAAAAAAAGACAGGGAAGAAATGATTACGAATATTGGCAGGAATGAAAACCTTGCTATCACAGACTTTCACCTTGGATATTTGCCAGTATTGTCAGTGTCTGATTCCAATCGCTCATTTTTTAACGCTGTTTTCTGATTGTTTTTATTTTGGTATTTGAAAACGAAAATAAATCCGAAACAGTTAAATTTCAGACATTTACTTTACATGTACGTGTTCTCTATTTGGGCTTTAGTAGGCTGGAAGGATTTTGAACACGTTCCTGTGTTAAACACAAACCATGAAGGGGCTCATTTTTTAAACTGTTCATGTAAAATGTAACAAAAAATGATTTTCTAATACTGTTAGCTAAAAATGCCAACCTTACCCCCCCCCCCTTGGAAAAAAACAAAACTGAAAAACAGCATACACATGAAGTCACATTCAAAGAAATGATTTTGCTTATGTGGTGTCCTTTGTGAATCACAGTTGACAAGTTGCCCCCTTATGTTGCCATATGTCACTGCATGCCTGGGTACGTTTTATATGCATCCCCAAGCATCGAAAAGGACAAGCGTTGAGAAGACAAGTGAGAAACATGGAAAATGACCGTGGAATATTGCACTATGCGGCAAGCAGCCATGCAGAAGACCACCATCTTGAAAATGAAAAGGGAAGGGAGGCGGGAAAAAGGCATCCAGAAATAAGACACAGTGCCCAAGATTGGCCGCAGGCAATCTGCGTGTTGAAGACATTTCCAGTATTGTATCTCACTGCCATATTGACATTATATTAGAAGGCAGTTGTAGGGAAGTCATAGAGAGAGAAAAAATAGAAAGTGGGGGGAAAAAAAAAACACAAGTGAGGCATATACAGTTGCTGGGGCAAATAACGTACAGTTGGGTGCATATACTAGCTTGGATCGATAGGCACATCCGTCGAATTGCCCCGAACCACATCTGGCATTGAAATTACGTATTAATTCGAGTACGGAATTCCCAGTGACTCGTAGGCTTAGCACTAATAGACAGTGAAATAATAACTGCATGATGTGTGCACCATGGTACACGTGCACTTTTCTCTCTCCCATTTTTTTTCCTCCTTCGGTCATGTCGGTGAGCGAGATATATGCGTGTGTGTGTTGTGTGCTGTGGGGGTTGATTTGAGCAATATAGGCACGCAGTGTAGACGGTTTTTGACCAAATTACATGCAGCCTGGCCCCCCTAGCCACAGGTACAAGGATGTCAGTAAATGCTACCTCCATGATTGGACTTAACGCTCTCTGACAATAATATCTGTGAGCAAAGCTACCGATAGCCACCATGCCACTAATTCAGCCAATTTCTATTAGATTTTACTTTAGTTCCTTTCTTTTTACTTGGGAAATTTGTTTTTCTTTTCCTCTGTAAGTTATCCGTATGGTTTTAAAATTTGATAAAGATATGATTCATTCTAGAACTTCAACAATTTTAAAATATGACTGTGCACTTCATCAATGTAATATAAACAGGTCAAGACCTTTAAAGATGTATCCATAGAAAAATACAACTTTTATTAACATTTAAACATCATTATTCCACACAAAGGTAAAAAAGAAATACAATCAATGTACATGCTGTTTGTCAAATATTCAAAATTTGTTTCATTTAAAGGGAATATACATCATTTGCTTTTGCTGTAATTTTCAGAAATGGGTGGAATTGGGGGGTCGGAAATATAAAGCAAATATAGTTACACTAACTTTTTGGAGGTTTTGGGTTCGAAAATGCTATAAAAACCAAGAAAAACGATCATTTTCCTGTAGTCTGGTTCCCTGACTCCATATAAGAAGAAACAGAGCAGTTTACATACATTGGGGAATTGTAAGGTCAGGGAACCAGTCTAGCTGGCTCGTACCCGTTTATAGGTTTGTAATCGATTGCAAACAAGTGCAATGGTCAATTGGGGCCAGTATTTGATAAAAAGCCAGTTGTTTCCAACGCTGATCGGCCGATCAGCGTTGGAAATTGATACAAAAATACCACTTTTCTTGAAAATGACAGTATACCAGGTGCCATAATTTTACAGGATGCTTTAGACTGTCATTTACCAACATCCTGTTAAGGTATTTCGCAAAAACTTGATAGTTTTATTTTTCGTTGTTTGCAAATGTTGTATATTCCCTTTAATACTCAGTGCATCAGCATCGTATAGTGAAGTAGAGTGGTCAGTAAAAGAGATGAATGTTTTCCAAACAGTATTTGTCAATTTTTGCATTGTTTTCTTGGCATTCTGAAAATTACGTGACCAAGAAGCTTTTGAAAAATTTGCGGAAATATTATTTGGTTAAAAGAGAATAGGTTTAAGGAAAAGTTGCATAAATATTGGTTAAAAAAGTTTAAGAAGTAATTCTTGTTCAACTTTCAAGATATTCCAAGGTTCTCTTGGTGTACTGTTCTCTTATTAATGATGCCATCTCTCGTTGTGTAATATTCTAACATAAAGTTGTGTATTTTTTTTTTAATTTTGGAAGTTTTTGTTGATTTTTTTTCTTTGCAGGGGTGTGGGATGAGAAGCGTCTGGAGACAAGAAAACCTCTGGAACGTAAGAATAAGAAGAAGAACAATCAGATACCGCCACCTCCCCCTCCTCAGCAGCTAGCCCCGCCCGTCAGCACATCGGTACCGACGCCTGAATCAGCGCCGATGCTTAGTAGAGAGCAGGAAGAATTAATAGACAGTCTGAAGAGGGCCAAGATGGATGCATTGTACTCTAGTGCACCGGTTAAAGTAAGTCTGCTTCAGAGTTACCTGGCTGCGGCTATGAAAGCCACTCAAGTCACATCCCATAAATATGTGTTAACGCTAGCCATAGCCACAGTCATTTGGATGGCGCCTCATTGTGGTACCATTGTTGGTGCGTTGACTTGGGAGTTATTTGTCTCTTGGCTTGTGCACAGACTATTGGTGTGACTTGTGATAGGACTTGTGATGGATTTGACTGCAGCACGGCATTTAACCAAGCACACTGCTTGTAACAAATGCACTATTCTAAGGGATGCTTATGAACAGAATTACAAAACTGTTCAACTGCACATCCTTAGCGAGTTCAGGGTGTTGGGGCGTGGATTGGTGTTTTGCGAATCTTATCTAATTGATATCGTAACTGCTCTGACATGATGACCTCAAATAGTCCAAGTGAGTGCACGTAGTGGAAGGATCTTATATTGATTGCAGTTTATGATTTTGTAAGCTTCAACTTTTGAAAAGTTTAGTAATGATGTCATCATCGCAAAGCAATTTACAATTGACCCCTTGCTTATGACGTCACATTTTAGAGCAGGTTGTTGTAGCTGATATTGACATTGTTTTGATTTTATTCCAATTTTCAGCCGACTGGAAGATTTGATGAGATCCTTGGAAAAATGATGGAGACACTGACGGGGCATGCTGGGCTTCCGCCAGGCATGCCAGGTGGTATGATGGACATGAGTAGTATGATGAAATTCCCTGGTTTTTCTGGTATGCCGCGCAAACCCAATGGTGTGACCCCACATGGACCTATGGACTTGACTCAGTTATGCCCAACGCCTGGCTTTAGTGGCTTTGACATGAGCAGGTTATCAGGCGAGAACTGCAATAACTCATCGTCCGAACACTCACACGAGTCGAGCTCAAAGACGAGTCAGCCACACCCAGAGGTGCATATCAAGCAAGAAGTGGTGGACTCAGGTTATGAGAACATGAGCGATAAACACGGCCCGTCCTGTATGGGTAACGTTGAACTCAAACCAGAGGGTAGGATACCACCTACCGGTACTCCACCAACGGCAAACAAACCTTTTATCACTCAAGAGATGGTCATCTATAACATGACACTACTGGGGGTAGTCATCAGACAAACTGTCGCATTCACCAAAGCTATACCTGCCTTCAGGAATCTGACATACGAGGATCAAGCCGTGCTTGTCAAGAACGCAATCCTGGAAATCCTCATGATAAGGTGCGCAGAGAACTACATTCCGGAGCGCAATGCCATCATTGATGACATCACAGGCAGCGAGTGGAGCATTGAGGCCATGTTGGCGTCGGGGTTTGCTACGTCAGCTCAACCGTCACTGAAGTTTGTACAAGCCCTGCACGGCATGCAGTTGTCCAAGGAAGAGTTTGCGTTACTGCAAGCTATCACGATAATATCACCTGGTAGGAATAAGTCCCATGTCAAAGCCGGTTCATTCTTTATGTGAATGCAAATATTGAGCGAATTTGATGTTACAAATGTTTTGTGCCAAAATTTGCTAAACTTATGCAAATTTACAACACAAATATTTTGCGTTACATCACAAATTTGCGTGCACTTTTGTTTAAGTATTTTTCCGCGAGGTTGGGTTAGGTTTGAGGTAATATCAGCACAAATGTGCTCAATTATTTGGGGACTATTGTAAAGTATGAATAAAAGGCCATATCATGACTTTCTTCAAAGATGCCACAAAAGCTTAACAGATAAGCTCCTTTTCTTGAATATAAGAATATCTTTTTTGGGGGGTAGGCCTATTTTGATTTTGTTGAGAAGAACGACATAACATTTTTAATCTCAGAAAAAGGTAGCACACTGAAGGAATAAAATGCAGACAATGGAAACAATCTCTACTCAAAGTTCGGATGAAAATCAGCCCAAATTTTATATCGAATGAAAACAAGTTTGCCTTGCCAACTATTTAGAAAGACCCTCCCGTCATCAAGTGCAAAATTTAGGTCAGGTTTCTACCACTGGTAACACACTCGATCATCACAGTCACCCGACGCTAATCGACAATCTCTGCACAGAAATTAGCCAGGATTTACTCACATTTCCTCTGCCTGGTCCCCCGTGGATGGCTGGCTGGTCCCCGACGGACGGCCGTGTGTACTATGAGACCACCTGATTGGTATACGCATTGACATACTGAAGGCCAGTGATTAGGCAAAAAGGCTTGGGGAATTGTCACCTAGCAGATGTACCTCGGGATTTGGGCCCTGTTCTTGTTTAAGATGCAGGGTAACAGTCCTGTATGTGAACAGCACTCTGATGTTCTTCCAAGGTTCTTCTTGGTATAATTCAATTTCATGTAGGGCAGAGGTGAAGAGTGTGCATTCAAACTGAGTTTTTTAATGTTGTACCTTTACAGCAAAAATATTGAAGTAGTGTTCAGTGGTCAGTTCAGTGGTCAGTTCAGTGGTCAGTTCAGTGGTCGGTCAAGAGTCATAAAGTTCAAAGCGACACTTCAAAGTGATAGCAGGACATCAATGGTCACAATTCTTAAATGGTTGACTCCATTCCTGCAAGGTGATTGGCTACTAAAGTCATGTGTCCTGGACATACATACACAACACCAGCATAATGCACAACATATTTAGCGAGAAGCCCTCATGCTGCGCACTCACACAAATTGCCCGTTAATACCTCTCATTATAACACACAGGAAATAGCGTGTCTGATGCTAATGGTACCCAGAATGAGCTCAGACAGGAAACCCAATAGCAGGCTATCCAAACATTGTCCCTGATCCAGGCCTGACACTTCACCCTTTGTGGTACTTGGTAATTTTACCCTGTAGTCAAGGGCATATTTTTAATACCAGTTCTAAATGACAATGAGGACATTTAAAGGAACACCGGCCTCGTTGTCCAAGGTCTGCTTATTTCAGTATTTTTAACCAAAAACACATAAAACAGAGCAGAGCATGAGATAAGACACAAAGAAGAGTGTTTTGGCAAAATCACTTTTGAACTTTCACATGCACAGGGTCACCATACCTATTCCCATTGTTAAATACACACAATTTTTAATGGAGAAAATGACCAAAAAAGTAACAATTTCAGTTCAACTTTTCCTGTCACATTCGACCTTATTTTATAGATTATGCTAAACTTTTATGAAAAAAAAAAGATTTCCTTCATATGCCATCTTTAAAAAAAAAAATCTTTTTCATTTATTTTCTCCTATCTTTCCGGTTATTGTTTTTGAGTGCATATAATATGCCATTCTGTTACTGTTTAGTCTTGGAGCTGGGCAAAGTCAGGTTTTTCATCTTTTAAGTGAGATAAAAGCAGGTCGTGTACATGTTGCAAACAGTCTGAAAATCATGAGCTCATAGTGAATTGGCCCATTTTAACAAACCTATAGAGCTACCGGTATGGTTGCATACGTTGTCAGCATGTTTCCACATACTTGCGATCGACGAAAACCTAGAAAATAGCTGAATTCTGACGTCAACATAGCCACATCCACTACCTGATTAGCTCCCACTCACACCCACAAGTTATCGTCCAACCTCCCCTGTCCAACAAGTCAAGGACAAAGAAACCTATCTCTTTCCTGCGTCCAGATTCCTGTGTTCATTTCCTTTTCCAGAAATCCCTGGCGCCCTGTTTTCCTTTTCCAGAAATCCCTGGCGCCCTGTTTTCCCTGGTTATCTGGAATTCTTAATTTGGCCACGGTTTGGAATGGCCACGTCTCACCATTCAATCAGTTGGTTGTTGGCGATCTTGTTTTGATGCGAAAAGTGGAGGTCATTCCGATCCCGCTCAATGATTTTTTAACTTTCACAAGTGCTTCCTCCGGTACCATAACTTTTACAAGGTTTCCAAAAATTGTTTGTCAAAATGTCTACTCCCAACTCACCCATTTGGTGTATTTTGTTAAGCAGCAGAAGCAATATTGTAAGGGGACTTTCATATTGATTGTATACTACACTGGGAAATCACAAGCCTGTTTTTGTATCAAGGAGAAAGTGCACAACCATCATTTGGGAAATATAAACTGGCAGAGTCAGAAGCGAAATGGGCACAAGGGGGACATCAGAACTTACCGATAATGAAAGCCACGCTGATGATGCAAAACAGATGGTCATTTCATTTTGGTTTAAAGGAAAATTGAAGTGATGGCATAGATTGACCTGAAGGACCTCTTTGTTATCGTAAAATGAAAATATAATGATTTATAAAGATGTTATTATTATTATTAATAATCATTTCTGGTAATGAAACCAAGGATTCCTCAAAAGCGCTCTAGGCACTGTAGCTCGCAAGCCTGAAGAAACCTGCAGAGAGAAGACAATGAGAAGAAGTTACAGTTTTAGAGGTGGGAGGAAAAGCCCAGAAGAATATTCTGGGGGAAAACCCACGGAATCAGGCAGGGACTGAAAACCCAATCCACATATTGGCCCAGGCGGGATTCGAACCCGGGTCACAGCGGTGGAAGGCGAGGAAAGTACCGCTACGCCAACCTGACTCCCTATATGTGGACTGCTTTTGAGTAGTTCTTTTAATAATCATGTTTCAAAGTCATGGTATTTTCAAAAACCTGGCAGGTCAATGTATGCCTCACTTAAGTTTTAAATGGTGGTAGTATGCCATTCCAAGCTTTGAGAGATTGGGGAGTTTTAAAGAAACATAGTGAAAAGAATATTGAATGCATACATGCAACATGTACCAAAATGTATTTTTATTTTGCAACAACAGACCCATGTCACCTAGTGTTATTTTTTATTTTATATATTTTTTGGCACAGCATTAATACTTAGTACTGTTTCTTTTCTGTTTTCCCCTGTCTTCTCTTACCTCCAGATCGGCCGGACATTGAGCACCACGAGGACGTTGAGAAGATCCAACGGCCGATGGTTGAGACCCTACAGATGCTGACCAAGGTCACCCATCCTGAAGACAAAGTCTTCTTTGCTAAGTTGATCATGAAGCTAACGGACGTCCGAGATCTGGTCACAAGGCACATCAATGACCTCATGCAGATGAAGCTGCCTGATACGCAGTTTGAGAACCTATTTCCGCTCATCACGGAAATCTTCAATGTCTGATGACAGGCAAGGGGGCAGGAGAGGAGAAATATGCGCTCAGGAGAGAACAGATCTGTGCCAAAATGAACAGCGACACAAACAATTGCACACGTATTGGACAAATCTTAAATGTGTTTACTAAACTGGGCTGCGGAGTGAATGGTCAACGTATCATATCAGCCAAGGGACATTGTTGAGGTGACGTACCTCAAACTGTACAGCAAATGCAGTCTCTTGGATAACTTAAACAAGCTTACCCAGTGTTCTTTATTTAAGTGATTAAACTGTTTTGTGTCTTAAGGTCGTAGATTAAAGTGTAGTAGAGTAGCACACCGAGACAAGAAGCAGATGCAACACATTGGAGGCTTGGTGGAACTAATGAAGAACTAGTCTGGACTACAGCAGAATCTAGAATGACCCATGGACAGGGATGAGAAATGAGACCATGAGGCGTCCAACGGTCGGTCTGTACCTTACCCACCCACACATACTCTTTGTTGGAGATTGTTGGAGTGAGGACATGGTGGAAGGCACAGGAAGACCGTCAGGGTTTGCATGTTGTCTTAGTTTCTCTGGCTATCAGAGAATGTTGAAAATCTTTGCCCAAATAACAGCAAGCATAGTAGTCAATCACAAGTCCATCTCAAGTCAAGTCACATGCTGATCACATGAACGGTGACGAAGGTATTCCTTTGCTTTTGTTCACTCCCCTGGTTCTTATGACTGAACCTGTGCATTGACTTGTGACTGGACTTGTGAGGACTTGTGACCGGACTATTGCTTGTTGAAAGCTAAGGTATCTTGTTGGGGGGAGGGGGGGGGGGGGGGGGGGGGGGATAAGAGGGACAAGTTAAGATCTGAACTGGGGGATGTTCATGAGCTTCTGGCCCCTTTGGCACAAAAATCAGAGCAAGAACAAGAATGCCCAAGTTAGAAACATTGTTCTATCTTAGCATTCAGAATAGATTGCCATTGTTTGGAGAATCGTGCCTAATCGCAACCTAGGACACCAGAATTTGCAAAATGGACATGCAGAAAATGAACAAGAACTTGGAATACATCTCTTATTAAGTCAAATTCACGATTGAAATCAATCCAAGATTTCAAATTGAGTGGATATCACTAATCATAAAATTAAAACTACGCACGCAAGTGATTTTTTATTGCCAAGTCAGAAATCTGGTGGGCTTGAGTTTTTTTTTTAAAGAATAGAAAAAACTTGTTGCGAGGCAAAACAGATTTTGTTGAAATAGTGCTTCCTGAGCAGATGCTGTGACAATGTGCCAAAGGTTCATTTTTGACAGTGTAAGATAAGAATTTAGGACGAGATACGTCATTGGATGTGGACACCATTCAGTATGAATTTGTAACATTTGATAATTTATGTTCCTTTTTGATGTAAGAATATGGACTGCTGGAGTCTTGTTGTGTTGAGATAATGCCACTGCTAGCCTCATTGCATACATGCGTGATTCCCATGGTAATGTACATATGATTTTTATGTAAAAAGTTTTTTATGATAATGTTGATGATTGCCTTAACTATATAAATTTGAAAATCCTGCTGGTTGTTTGAATACCCCCAAATCAATGTAAACATTGTCTTATTTTTGACAGTTGTAATTGCAATGCATTCATCTTGTATTTCTTTCAGTTTTAATTATTTACTAGTCTGGGTAAAAACAAAATCTTGCAACCCAGTGAAATTGGAATTATTACGTCACTCTTGAAAGCATCTCACTTTTTTGAGTTCTTGAACATGCTAGCGCCAAAATGCATCAATTTGAACAAGGAAGCTTTGCTGCAGTTAGTATTGAAGCCGAGCATTCTTACGGTCCAATCCTATCCCAAAAATCTACCTCAGATGAAGAAAATACTTGTGCTGAGCAGAAATGTTTAAACATGCTTATATAAATTAGTCCGTCATTCTTGATTCCTTTTGTGCATGGTGAGAAGTCAGGATGCCATGATTGAATGAATTAAATTGCTTAAGATAAAGTTATGCTTAGCATGAAACAGGTCACCAGTTGAAATTGCCATGGGATGTAATAAGCATGTAACTGGGTTTTGGGCGGAGTTAATGCTAATTGGATTGATTTTGTCTTAGCATCCATGTTGAAGTAGAGCCAGGCGATTTACCATTTATTTATGTGGACTTCTTGCAAAGAAATAGCAAAATGAACTGATGACTAGGGTAGAATCAATGCATTGAGGTCATCAAGTGAAAAGTAATGTAGTTATGATTTTTGATCAATTATGATTTTTTGATCGTTATTCTTCAAGTAAAAATCCCTCCATATTGGACAAAATTAACGCCTCATACATGTGGATCTTATAGCACAAGGTGTAATTCTACACACATAGTTTCTTCAGTGCATATATTTCAGATATCCTTGGAGTTTGATGTCTGTGCCGAATCAATTAATTTTAACTTTATAATGTTGGTGTTTCTTTGTCAAAGCATACAGCTCCTAGCGTAACAGAATAGAAATGTTTACAATTGTAGTTATGACGATTTGACTCTGAATGTCCCCTGATACTTTCTTATTTGTCCTTCCTGTTTCTAACCTGTCATCTTTCCTTCTTTCACTTTTCTTTCTCTGATCTCTGGCGCCGTTGCTTCCTGCACTGACTCACTTTGGATAACCTCAGTCCTTGCCCTTGAAAATCAGACAAGGTTCATTTCTCGTGCTTTCTTGTGGCAAATATCGCTCTACCAAATTACAGTGTCTTTCACCTTTGTCATTTGATTATTTTGTAGAATGCAGAACCCTCCTGTATTTGACGTTTTGCTGATTTATATTGTAGTCTGTTAAAAGGAAACGCCCAGTCTTAAAAACAGTTTGCTTTGTTGAAAGAACTTCATCTGTGAAAGTGTTTAACTCCTAGTTTCTCCAGAGCTAACTTTGAATATAATTTTTTTCCTGGAATCTTTTTTTTTAAATTGTTTTAATTTAGTTCCTTACTCTGATTTTGCATGAGTGCTTAAATGCCGCTGATTTCTTATCTCGTTGCAAATTAGTAACTATTCAGATCAACGATTCTTGATTTTCAAGTTTGAATGAGCAAGTGCTGAATATAAAGGAAATCACAAGAGGGTTACGAAAGAGTTAAGCAGCTTGTCACAATTTGGACAAAAGTTTGAAGTTGGCATCACATGTGGTTTCACTCCAGAAATGTCCAGGTCTTGTGTAGTTCATCAATATTTGAAGGATAGCTACAAGTAAAGACCATGCAAACATACAGCAAGCTAAAACTCATACAAAAAATTAAATGGGTGAAATGTTGCAAGTTCATTCCCCGTTAAATTAATAAGTAAGCACCATCTAAATGTCAAGAGTGGTAGTGTGGTGATCAGTGATCTGGCTCATTTAGGAGAAGAAATACAAACTAGTTGTGTCAACGTATGCTTCTTGACCTTAAGATAGCTGAGTTGTTTAACATCATAAAGTAGATAATAATAATTATCATCGTTTTTTTTTTAACTGCATGTGGGTCCCAGAACATCAACTATTTGCCAATTTTCGGATACTAAATGAGAGTATATGGTGTGATATTTAATAGCACTATTCCCTGTGGGTGATACTGTGAAGCAGAGGAATGCATTCAAGTGTTTTCAATGTAAACACGGTGTTCATTTCTCCAGACAGGTCCAGCAGTATTATGCAGGTAAATGCAATGTGGTGTTCACAGTCTTTATTGTTCCTTTGGTGGTAGAACTACAGTAACATTGCTTCAGGGAAGTAATCATACATGCACAATTTGCTATTAAAGTTGCATATCTGTGTAGGTATGTAATATTTTAATCTTGTCGTCAGAAAATTGTGCCAAACTTTGGGCCTGTCACTGCCCAACTTGATTCTAAGATAATTGAAAGAGATGTAAATTGGGAATTAAAAAAACATAAGTTGGTACACTGCTGCACTGAAAGATCTGAAATATAATGACTGTGACCATTTGAATATAGTGGTAACCATTAGCACAATCATGTTATAGAAATCATTTGTATGGCCATTTCTTTAAAGGACAAAATATCAAACTTTGTGTTTTGTTGGATTTCACAGAGAGAGAGAAAAAATTCACTTTGAATAATTACTGTTGTTTCTTGAAGAATGTTACAAACTGTTGTTTCTTGATAAATGTTTGTGAATTGAAATCAAAATTGGAAATTCAAACGTTTTGGGGAAATGCATTATTTAGGGCTTCCAAACTGTTTTTTGAAAAAAAAGTGGCTTTTCAGATTTCATATGACCAAAGTGTTACTTCAAATCATTCAAAATGATCAAATATTTGCTGGTGCATCTTTGGCTGTGAATTAAATCCTGGCTGTTTATTTGGGGAAGTGGGTGTTACACATGAAGAACTGCAGACGTCATATAATGTGACCCCACAATTGGATGATCTCAAACCAAAAAAGGTGGATATTTACAATTTCCTGCAGACTTCACATCGGAGTGAATTGGACCTGGATTTTTCTCTTTAAGGAGTTTCTAAAGCATACAAAAATACCAGTCTTTTTTGTAGTCTACGTCTGAATATTCTACTGTAAAGCACTGGCCATGCAAAACCAAGCTATAATAGACGGTAGATTGGTGTGGTGGTTTACATAAAAGTCCTAGTTCTCAGTTTTAGGACTTTTCTGTTGGATGTTAAAAGGCATTCATGACCACTTTTTTGTACATAAACTGGGGAACATAATGTAGAGAAGTTGTGGTTATGCATGCATAGTTCAGTATTAAAAAAAAAAAAATGAAAAAAAACCAAAAAAATTACAAACGTGCTTCTGTTTAAAGGAAAACCTTCTTAGTCACTGATAACTGAATGGTTAGTTTACCACGGTTTGAGGACTAAAGGCATTCAAACAAAACTCCATTTCTGTATTGAGTTGACAACATCCGTTGTATATTGTTCCGTGGACACATCACCTACATGTCATTTGTAAGCAACTTGCAAGTAGTATTAGCGACCTCCCCATTCCTTGTACATTATGTACATAGTGTTTATCACAATACTGTTACTGTGTGGAATGTATTGAGTTCTTCACCTCTGTAAGGGGGACATTGTCACGTTCATTCGCAGTTTTCTCTTCACTGAATGAACTCTCAACGTATTTGTTGCCTTTCTACATTGTATTTCATTTGTCTTCACTCTGTTTACGTACGTGTCTTGCACTCATGGAGTATATTATCTCTAATTGACTTCATTATTAAGAGTATTAATAAATAAGCACCAAATGGTCCAACGATATTTCTTCAAGAAAAAGACATTTGTCCTGTGTGTTTATTTTATGACGTTTAAAGGAATTTCTTTTGGGGATCTGGGAGATGTAACATTTTAATATTGGAATCAGTTTAACTTTATGAGACCCTCCAACACAAAACCACTCACTTGCACCAATTTTTGAAGACAGGAATTTTTTTTGCTCATTGGAAAAGACATTCAATAAGCTTTTCAATGACGTATAGTATATGACAATCAGTCATTTGCAGTTCCCAATATTAGGGCTTCAGAAATTTTCAAAAAATTGAGAAATTTCTCCAAGTTACCCAAATAAACTCCTTAGGAAATTTACAAATTAACCTGCATTGAATGCAAAATACATGTATATATTCTTCATTCTAGTTTCTAACACCTAAATCTGAATTTGGATAATTTTTGCCTGTACAATGTATTATATTTGTGTAAAAACAAAAGGGACGTGCAACTTCCTATTGGTTGTGTGCTGGAGGGTCACATACATGTATGAGCACTTTAGACTCGGTGATGTCAGAGCTTGTGAGAAACTTTGCGAGCTTGCTGGGGTGGGACGTGAACCCAAAACCTCCTGCTTACTAGTGTAGAAGCACTCCACCACCAAGTTGGCTGGTGTAAGGTGGCTGGCTTGTCTGACGGGTATAACGGCAGGTATTGTAATTGCTGACTTCTGAGGGAATATTACATTTAGGAGATGTAATTTACATCTACACTGGTAATCAGGAGGTCGTGAGTAATGTCCCGTCTAAGCATGCCTGTGAACATTGCTCACAAACTCGCAAACAGCATACACGTGGGCAATTCCAGCGTTATGTAATTACAGAGTTGTAACGAGTCACTGATTTTTGTGACTCGAGTCGAGTCATTTTAAAGAAGTGACTCGAGTCGAGTCGAGTCATTAGGTCAAAAGGTCGAGTCGAGTCAAATATTTAGCTCGAGTCAATTCGAGTCAAGAACACTATATACCAAAAATTAATAAAAAGGAGGCCATAAGTTAAAGGGAATATACATCATTTGCTTTTGCTGTAATTTTCAGAAATGGATGGAATTGGGGGGTTGGTAATACATAGCAAATATTGTTACACTGACTTTTTTGAAGTTTTGGGTTCGAGAATGCTATAAAAACCAAGAAAAACAATACTTTTCCTGTAGTCTGGTTCCCTGACTCCATTTAAGAAGAAACAGAGCAGTTTATGTACATTGGGGAATTGTAAGGTCAGGGAACCAGTCTAGCTGGCTTGTACCCGTTCATAGGTGTATAATCGATTGCAAACAAATGTGATGGTCAATTGGGGCCAGTATTTGAAAAAAAACCAGTTTTTTCCAACGCTGGTCGGCCGACCAGCGTTGGAAATTGATACAAAAATACCACTTTTCTTGAAATTGACAGTATACCAGGTGCCATGATTTTATAGGAAGCTTTACACTGTCATTCACTAACAGTCCAGCAAGGTATTTCAAAATAATTTGGTAGTTTTATTTTTTGATGTTTGCAAATGTTGTATTTTCCCTTTAAGCCAGCGTTCGAATCCAAGAGCTTTATAAAAAATCGCCCAAAGCCAATGATTAAACAGCGAATTAGAAAAATGTGTTTAAAAATCTGGTTCCTGGATAGTATTTTGTGTGTTCTAGAACCATAAGGTGGGAGTCTGTGACACGTTGTATATTTGTACATGACTGCTATTCGCAAAGCGAAGTAAGCATAACTTTTGCATCGTAAAGCCCGGTTCATACTTCACATGAATGTGAGGCGAATTCGACGTCATGAAACATTCGCTGCGAAATTCGCCCGAGTTGAAATATGTTCAACTTTTACGAATTCGCAGCGCGAATACTTGCTATGATGTCACCAATTCGCGTTCGCCTTCGCTTTCGCGCCGAGTATGAACCGGGCTTAAGTCATTGCAAATACAATTCGCAAAGTTGTGCTTTTATTTTTGGGACTCGAGTCTTATAAGCCTTCGCTCGAGTCAAGTCGAGTCTTCTGATGAGAGACTCGAGTCGAGTCGAGTCATTTGCTCGCAGTGACTCGAGACGAGTCGAGTCATTCGCCCTTAGGGACTCGAGTCGAGTCGAGTCACCAAAAATTGTGACTCGAGTCGGACTCGAGTCGAGTCATTGACTCGAGTCATTACAACTCTGCCTAATTAATGATTCAAAGATATCCAAACTATATAATGCATAGTCTATAATCTCCTTGACCATTACTAGATGATGGATATATATAAGATTTGAAAAATACACTTTCAGGTTTATTCACTGAGCTCTTAATGCTCTGTCATGGACATTACATAATGCTGCAATTGCCAACATGTTTAAGACAGAATGATTTCAACTGTTCCTCAATTACATGTAACTCAACAGATTTTTTTCAACTCAGACCCATAAAGTATTTTATAGTACATAACCTTTATCACATATAAAAACTTTGTAGCTCAAAACATATTGGTCAACATTGTGCTTATCTCTTTTTCCATAGAAATTTTAACTCAAAATTCATTGCCCATTCGTCTTTGGAACAAGTATTGGTGAAATTTATCTTTGACAAATAATATAACTCATCTTCAATCATTTTTAAAGTCATAATTTGCCAAAAATGTCTTGCACTTATAGGCATGACACAAAAATATGCCAAAGTTGGAAATGTTCACCTAAATACAAAGGATTTGTTCCAGGCCACTACTACAGGCTAAATTCCACCAAGAAGTCATCGTCAACTTCTTCCCGTTCTGATGACGTTTCCCTGTTGGCCTCGTAAAGAGTTCTTGAATGAGCACAATACTGCAATGTCATACACTGTCAACCTGCACATAAACACACAACAATCAGTAATAGAATTTGTGTAAATAGAGGCACATATTGGAAATATTACTGAGACATTTTACTTAAACTACTACTGTTGACAATATATCTTTGTGTTACTCTGACCTTAAATGAGATTAGAAGGTTTGCATGGTGGAAAGATACTAAGACAAGATAAGTTTGCGGTAGCACCATGTGAATAAATCTCTCCGGTTCTTTTCAGAACCACACATACTCACAAAAGAGATTTCTTCACATGGTGCTACCTCAAACTTATCTTGACTGACCTTAAACCTTTCCATCCAAAGCTACGTAAGCTTTATGGTACACTAAGACCACCACTTTAACAAAAATCAGTCCCTTGTGCCAGGACTACATCTTACTTTATCTCACTGGTCACAACTGGACACAACTAGCCACCAATTCGTGCACACTTGTTCCTGATGAGCTGTTTTGAGCTCTTACATCAGAAAAATCCCCATAAAGTGTCCCCACCAGAACATGCACAAAAAGGACAAGGTAAGTATGGAACAAAATATTACATGCTCCCATCAGGAGATGCAGCTTCAAACCTAATTTAAAGAGCATTATTCGCGAGATTTTCAATTTATCGGCATTTGTCATTTGACCCTAATTTGTCCTCTCTTTCAAACCTGGATAACTCTTTTAATAACATCCTCAAGAGCTACTCCATCAGAGATGCTCTGAAGTTTGCGAATGATAGAGCTGAAAATTGAATAATTGAGGTGCATGGCTACAGGCAAGATAAGTGAATAACAGAAAGAGGTCAATTAAAGCCATTGAATGGAAGACTTTGAGAGGAGAGGGAGACGACATCTAATCGACAGAGAATAGGGGTACTTTCCAGTGGAAAATCGATGATGTATTTAATATGAAAACAACATATCGGTGTTACATAAGTTATCCTTGGAAGAATTTCCTTTTTAAATTGACATTACCTCCCTGCCTCCCCTTTATCACTGATGTATGACTGGGTGGAATTACGACCAATTCAACCAATTTATTTTATCTTAACGATTCAGCAAAGGTTTGGGAAATATTGAGAGAGAGAGAGAGAGAGAGAGAGAGAGAGAGCTGGGGGTTTACACTTCGGCAAAGAGTAAAACTTCTACTGAGCTACGTAACTCAAGGTTTGAGCAATAGATCAGCACCCTAAAATTGTCCCTTGCAAAGGTGACGTTGAGTGCGTTTGATTACTTCCCCCGCGCTTACTCATGCAAGCACGACAGCGTTCAATTTACCTCTCACGTGACTTCTCGCGCTTACTCGAGCCTGGCCCAAGTAACCGACTCGCCGAGCCGGTTAGTTGGGTAAGTATCCCATAAGGCCATGCAATAAACATGGGCGCCTCATCTCAGGCCATGTGCTTCCAGAGCTACAGCTACGTCTATTGTCAGCCTGTCCCCGCGTATTTTCAATGGGCGTGGACCTAGACCTAGCTCTAGACAGTTGATTCGGATGCAGCCTCAGTGTCATGTCAAAGTTCAACTTTCCAGCTCTTGCACGAAACTTTACCCGAAACCATTCGTTTATTTAGCTCCACTGCGCATGTCTGTCATCACGTGAGGAGCAGGCGCGAGTAAGCTGGGGGAAGTAATCGAACACACTCATTATGTAGGTCCAATATGGGTCAAATACGCGAAGGGCGTAGCTGCACACACATCTTCATGAATATGTATGTTACGACTGCCTGGGTCGGGTCATGCATCGTACAATTGTGGAACCATCGTCAAGCTATTTTTAGAAACAAGCCGAGTCTGTAATCCAAACTATTTCAATATACTGGCAATCTTGACAAACCGCTGCTCATCACGTGAACTCCTTTACAACTTCAACCACAAAAAGTTTTACAAAAATTTGCTTGCAAAGAATCTCAAAAAGTGTCTTTCTTGAATGGACCATTCCAAGTGTGGCCGCAAACCCTACCCACCTTTGGTATATTTCTCATTGTGCTAGAGACCTATGTTGACCAAGCTGATGTGGTCACCAGGGATTATGCACCGGTAGTCTGGTCCATCACAAGTCCTCCAGTCCCAATTCAACTCACAAGCTATTCAAATGAGATTTGACAAAGGCATTCCTTTGTTATTGTTCATCCACTGTTACTTGTGACTGGACTTGTGATTGGCTTGACTACATCTCTGGTGGTCACCCAACCAAAATGTGTGCTCTGATTGGTCAATGTGCACTTTTGATTGACAGACGGGAAGAATCCATTTAACCAAAAGATGGAAATGGAAAATTTGAAATACTGAATTGATGATTTATACCTGCGTAGCAAGGTAAGACTTAATATGTCTCCTCATCTACTGCCTCTCGTCACCTTGCATCTGCTGATGATGAGGATGGTGTTGGCACAGTGCCAAGTCTCTCCTCACAGATATGAGTTGCCTCTTCTAGATCATGCTGGGAAAACAGATGACAACACAGAAAACAAAAATGCTAGACCGAGATTCCCAGAGTCTTTAAAACTGCACAGTAGAACATGTCAAATTGCTTGTTGGTTTTCGGCATTTGTGTTTCCTAATGATGGCCCGGTAAAAATTGAGTAACTTGAACTGAGAGTGCTGGATTTGTCTCATAGAAAGGTACAAATAAAGAACTGTACAACACCCACAATGCACACATGCCAAAAACATACAGTTCTTTTGACACAACACCAAAATTAGAAATACAACGTACTAATAAATGGAATTTGCGTCGGGGTGATGTCAATTCAATATTGGGTTTTGCCCTTCATGGACATTTTATTCACAAACACTGTATACTCAGTGAGTAAATGTCCCGAGTAATTGTGAGAAAAAAACTACTCGGATGGGACTCGAACCCACGAACCCGTACTAGTGCAGCGTACTAGTGCAGAGTGCAGACGTCTTACCCCTCGACCACCGAGTTTACCGAGGTCGGCTGGCTGGTTCAAATCTGATGTAGCAGCGGGTACCGCAACCAAACTATTCATAAGACGGAATTTTGCTTCGGGTGATGTCAATTCAATATTAGGTTTGCCTGTCACCGACGTAGAAGACTTTTCTAGGGCGGTACAACAGTTGCAAGGATCTCCTACAACTTCCTAATTTGAAGAACAATAGTGGTAGGGGCATTGGGTATGCACATACAACCTTCAGGTGACCATAGTGCCACCTCACGCATGAATTCTAGATGTGGTCACTGGATTACATTTGGTCACACAAAATATGGATTTGTGTATACAGTCGAGTCTCGTTATAACAAACTCGTTCAGACCTAGCCAAATTGTTTGCTATATCAGAATTTTGTATTAAGAGGAACATCAGTCCCATTCGTTGTGTACATAAATGCACAGTTAGGACTAAGGCTTTATGTTTGTTAAAACCAGAATTTTGTATTAACAGAGTTTGTACTACCGAGAGTCAACTGTACTGTACATGAGTTTCTACAAAGTGCACAAGTATGTGCTGGTCCTAGGGGGCCAGCCTAGTGTCCTCTTTGCTCCTGACTGACTGACTGTCAGTTGTGAGCTGGGCAGTGCTATTGTATATGATTACCCTGTAATGCCAACGAGTGGGCTAAATCCGGCCCGTTGTGTAGACCACATGCATGAAAAGACTACCAGTGAACAGCTATTCTAAATCCATTGAATACATTTTGTGAGGAAGCCTCGGTGGAGGACAGGCGTAAGCTTCAATGCTTCATATTGATTGTTATAACTGTTTAATTTCATCATAGCAAGGCTTTACTAGGCGTGCCTTGTGTTGTTTTTGAATTGATATTACACCAACCTGCAGAATATGAACTCCTTTGAGTGACAGCAGGATAAGTTCATACAATCCATCGGACATCAAGTCCACGTACTTCATGGCAATTAGAGGATGGGCAAAGCTACGCTGCCAGACTAGGCGATACTCCCCGGGACAATCCTCCCCACCCTCACAGTCAACATCATCTTCTTGGCACTCTGCCAGGTCTGGTTCCCTGCCTTCTGTTTCTGTACTTCCCATTGTGTCTTCCTGTGTTCCTTCTTGGTCTTCCATCTCTAGTCTGGTCTCTGGGGCTGACTCTTTCCCTTTCGTCTTTCCTTCACTGATCTCAGCTTTCTCTGATTCCTTCATCTTTGTTTTTTTGTTCCCTGTTGAGAAGTACTTGTAGCAGAGTAACTCCTACATGAAACCAAAAAATAAAGAAGAAAATTATCAGTACATAAAGGTGGTATCATGTCACAAAATAGTATAATAGAAAAGTGTTGTAGTTGAGTCTATCACATGTCCATCACATGTCCATCACATGTCCAGTTGTGACATACTTAGGATTGGACGACTTATCAGTGACTTGTGATGACTCGCGATGGACAACACTGCAAATGGAAGGAAGAATTTGGGAAAAGACTTTAAACTCGAACAGTTCTGAACAAAGCGGATAGAAAGTTCACTTTCTAGAATTTTTCAAGAGCACTTTTTTGGGCAAATGTGTGTGTTGGTAAGGAGCAATCGACTTAAATAAATAATAATTAAATAATAATTTGGGAGGCTAATCATCCTTACTGGCAGCTGGGATGCTGAATTGCAAAGGACGCGGCTACAACGTGGTCGGGCCGCTGGCACGTAAAGGCGCCTATGGCTGCCGGCCACATCGACCCATATATGACCACGGAGCACAGCCTGAGATCGAAAGTGTTTGATTTTTCTGGAGGGAGGAAAACCGGAGGGCCCGGAGAAAAACCGTTGTGGCACAGGAGAGAACCAACGCACAATTCTACTCACATGTGATCCACGGCCAGGATTCGAACCGTGGTCACCTTGGTGAGAGGCGAGCGCTTTAAGCACAAGCCACCCATGCCACCCCTTGTCTGAAGACTGGGCTAAGAATCAGTTCCACTTGCAAAGCTGATCAATGTCGAGTGCAACCAAGCCACCACTGCAGAACCGAATGCTATCCAATCCAGTCCAACCTACCTGTCCATAGGTTCCTATGAGTATCTCATTCTGGGCATCCCAGTCTACATCAGCCACACAGGCACACAGTGTACAGTCATAGCAATCACTGTCTGGTAATACTAACTGTCTCTGTAGGCCGTTACATACAACATTCCTAGATAGAGGTAAGGGTAAAATAGAATGAGAAAAAACACTAACCATCTGAGATTCCTTAAAATCTACTAAGAGGTGTTGTGCTGGAAAATTAAGCAAAGCCTTTTCAGTAGTCAAAATCAATCAAGTGACTGTTTTTAAAGATTAAGAACTCCCCGTTCACATAAAGCGGGATTGAATGGCTGTATACAGATCCATCTACATGTATGCTTTGACCGTAGGATAAGCCAGCTGTGCCCACCAGTTACCTGCTTTTTTGTCTGTTGATGGAATTTGACTGTTGTGGACTTCGCTACTGGAGGTGAAGTCACTGAAAGAGTGAATGAATCCCAACCTTACCACCTAGTCTAAAGTTGGATTGACTGAGACAATTTAGGCTTGCCCAATATAATGTGATCTAGTCACACCACCAGGTGTCACTCGTTAACTTATAAATGTGCTATTTCTTGGGGGAAAAAAACACCAAAGATGTATCCAGCAACCACAAGTGGAAGCAAATACGAAGATGGCACTATGCTCATGTTGGCATGCATTCATTTAAATTTGAGACCCACATGCATATCAGCAACCATATTGGTTGAATGAGCACCAAGTGTGAAAGAGTAACTTGCAAGCTGCTTTCACCTCAGTAATGCTTCCTTATTGTGGTTACTGAGTCTATAGTATCCATCGGGAATTGTACTTCACGTTCACAATGACAAGCTCAGTTCAGGCACTGGTAGTGCTAGTTAGCAGTTTGACATATTGCAGTGTAACCATTTTGAAATCCAGCAGCCTGGAACGTGATGAAAAGATTCCCCTCCCCACCCCTCACTACGCCTCACTCGGCCCCACATCCTCCCTGCCAACACACCCCGTCCTGCCCCGCCCCTGTTTTGTACCTGTACACTACAGCCACCTCCAGAGCACTAGTGACCAGCAGGTGCCATTCCTCCTCCCCAGGGCTGTGAGTCCCATTCCCATCGTATCCATCACCATTCTTCTCCTCTCCTACAGGTAGGAAGGAGGGTGTCTTGACTGGGGTGTGAGTCTTAAAGAGTTTGACACAGGTGATGGCGCTATCGTGTTGTATCTCCCACGTCTTTAAGATCTCAGCATCTATAGATGGAAAAATCCATGACCATTTAAAAACCCATATTTTGTTAATTTCTAAAGTTAAGACTAATGTGATCTTCACCATTTATAAAATGTCTCTGCAATTTGACCTTTTCAAACCAAAACACATTGATTGAACTCCTTTTGAGGTATTGTATGTGACTGTCATTTAAATTTAGATGGGCCAAGCATTTCTCATGAATGGTACAATTGAAAGTCTATGATTATAAATGAAGTTGAGGATTGTATGACAAGCTTTGATGCCAGTCAAACACTTTCAGATTTAAGCTCTGTAAAAGAAGGACTCTCATTTGTAGATGGCTATGGTCTGTCACAAGAGTATACTAACAGCACTTATAGACCAATCTGGGAACCACATTACTAAAGACTGACGGAGCCCCCTCAATCCCAGCCCTCACAACCCAAGTAGTGTACCACTGATACTCCTTCTCTTGTGGTTGCATTACAAGTGTCATGATCAATTTGGTGAAAAGACTCGGATTGGGCCAGGTTCTGTTCAGACAAACATAATCAATCAGTCACAGACCACTGTGTTTGAAGCATGGAGTTTACCCAACTTTAACCCTAACCTTCCCAAATCCTCCCAAACCCTTTTTGCAAAATGGAGGATTTTGCAGGATTTAGGCTATATGCCAACATTGTGTGGCTGATTTTGGAGGATGCACTGTGTCAAGGTCTTGGGCTAGACCTTGTGTTGTTCAAACTCAGTCGTGCATAAATTTAGGCCTACATTATACTTGAAATCCTCCACACTGCTCCAGGATGTCACTGCCTCTGCCTCAACATATTGACAGTGTTTGCTGGAGATTTTGCAGGATTGAGGTAGTTGTCACCCCTCCAAGGACCACATTCAAGAAACAACAAAGGATTTTGCAGGATTGAGGCTGTATGCTATCTTTACAAAGAGGCAGTTGGAGGATATTGCAGGATCGAGGTTACATCCTATCAAAAAGGCCTAGGGAGTTAGGGTTAATTTCATCTTCAGCCACACTTTCAGGAGACTTGAAAGCCCTTGACCAATATTGAAATCAACTCTAACACAAGTCCAGTCGCAAGTCCAATCACTAGTAACAGCGGATGTACAGTAACAAAGAAGTACCTTTGTCACAATTCATTTGAAAACTAGTGACTTGACTTGGGACTGGACGACTTATAATTGACTAATGATGGACTTGTGATAGACTTGGGCTCCTACTTGTAATGGACTTGAATATACCACTACCCCTGATTTGATGCACTTTGGTTCAATAGGGGTCGGGGGTTAAATCGTCAAATCCTGTGAAATGAGGTTGAGAGTTTCTGAAGTTGGTTTGGACAGAGAAGACATCATAATGATACTGGAAGCAGATATGAAAGCAAAGTTTTAGACAAATCTGAGGTTGAGTAAAATTGAATGGTTTGAGGAAGCCAGCCCAAAGTGACCACCCTTCAGAAAAAAACCCATGATTTTGCACCATATGGCAGTATAAACCCGAGTTCTTGATAGCAAAGTCTTGTCTACAATAGGCATTTTTGTCTATGTCTATTGATGTGGACTATCCCTCCCTCTCTGGCTGGTAAATTCAACAAAGACAGCCCAGCAGTCAAAATAAGTCAAGTGACTGTTTTTAGCAGTTGAGTGCTCCCTGCCTTAATAAAGCAGGATTGACTGGCTGTGACTGTTACGAAACTTGATATAGCCATGCTTTGACTGTAGGAGATTGATAAGCCAGCTGTGCCTACCAGTTGCCTGCTTTTGTCTGTTGATGGAATTTGACTGTCACAGTGCTTACAAGAAAAATGATCTGACTGTTGGTAACTAGCTTGTGTAAAAGGCATGGCAGGGGAACAGGATTGAATTTTTGACTGTCTGAGACTGATCAAGCAAAAGGAGGGTCAATCTATGCATCTACTACAGAAACTGAAGTATACAGTCATTCTGTTGTCACAGTTTTATTTTTAATGTTATCCCTTTTAGATGGTTCTCTGCGAGTCAGTTACATTGGACTTACAGTCTGCATGGCAGGATACCAGTGACAATCGGATGTAGCCATTCTGGCAGCCAACGACAGTCAAACGCATGTCGTTTGGAAGCAGTTGACAGTGTAGCCACAGAGCACTGGAAAGAAATAAGTTGAAAAAGTAATTAGTTAGTACCCTGCCAAAATGCCATGCAGATTCGCTATTCTTACAACCAAAAGCCATTTGACAGATGTCATCTTGAAGTGCAGTGATCACCATAGACAGCGAAACACAATAACATCAGTAAATAGCACGTAAACAGAGCATGTTGTTTGGAATGTTGAGTGAACCAGTTCTCAGAACCACAAACATTACTGTCAGTAAATCACTGGCAGGCACAAACCACAAGTGAACGGTTTGCTGGCAATAGCGCCCTCAGTGGTGTGTCATGAATCCCAAATCCACCTATGTCTGGAACCCAGACTACTACCAAAGACTTGTCAACCTACATGCTGGGTAAGTCTTCAAACTCAGGGAAGAGGTCCTCAATGGGATGCTCTGAGAATCGACTTGATGATTCCTTGTCCTATATGGAACAGACAGAAGGAAAATGTTGCCGTTATGCCTCTGCTGGGAAATTGAAAGACAAAGTATATTTTGTTTTGAATTTTTTTGAAAGTTCATCACGTATCTTACACATCTTCTTTTTAAGAGGAAGACCTATCAGATTATCCTGTGGATTCTAAGAGAATACCTTGATATCTACCTTTACATTTTTTTAAATAAATTTTACTTCCTAGCCGAATTGTTGAGATTCCTACAGTTATTTTCTGTATCTTTTTCTTCTGCACTCTGAGAGCATGAAATGTCTCGTTAAAAATACTACACATTTAGACTTATAATAGTTTATGCGGTACCCACTGCTATGTACATCAGATTCGAACCGGCCAACTGATCCCGTTAGCTCGGTGGTCGAGTGGTAAGACATCTGCACTAGAAAGCAGGAGGTTGTGGGATCAACCCCCACCCGAGTGATTTTTTCCAACTTTCACTCGGGAGGTAACACACTGAGTATACAGTGTTTAAAAAACGTCGGTGAAGGGCAAAACCTAATTTGACATTTAGACTTCTTATCTGAAATCTGTTTTTTAAACATTTTGCTGCCACTGAGTCTACTGTAGATTAGCATGGTTTCACCCACAAGATTCTTCCGTCACAGCAGTTAACTGTTATGATCTCACAGCGATGTTCAAAGTCTTGAAGTTATGACTTATAAATGAGATGCATCTTGTATTGATAGCTAAGATGAAGATGGAGCTGACTGAGATTGTTAAGACTAAGGATGTACCTCTTTGTATAGATGAACTTTGCTGTCGCCTCCTGTCAGTAGAAAGACAGTGTCTCGCTGTCCATCTTGGATGATGCTGAAGAAAAATATAGGAGAAGTAATTATGATATTGTACCCAAAAAAAAAAGCTGACAAAAAAGAAATATGGGAAAAATAACTGACATACAAGGTGTCTGAAAAACACCCAAACCCTCATAGCTCCTTCTTTTTCACAGCTTTTACAAATATATATCGCAAATATTGATACATGTTTGGCAAGTATAGTTCATTAGCTTTTCAACAACGAAAAAATATTTCCAATCGGGTAAATATTTATTGAGTTATGGCCAAAAAAAAGTTGATTTGTCCACAGTCTCAATAAGCCATTTGCGAGTTAAATTTGAATAAAATCTGGAACGCTGACTTAATCCAATGCTTTGCACGTTTTAACTTTGCATTCACCCGACCAAAGAGACTGTTACTACCGATATATCACGTGATTTGGGGCAAGCCTTACGCTAGCAACCCCCAGCTCCGGCATGGTCTGATGTCTTTGTGCCATTCTCACCTATTGTGAACAATGTATTGGTGCTGAGCGTCTCTTACGTAACTATGCAAGAGCTTGCCCCGAATCATGTGATTAGCAACAGTGTCTTTGGTCTGAAGAATTCAAAGTTAAAATGTGCCAAGCATTCTGAACAAGTCAGTGTACCAGATGTTTTTCAAATTTAAATCTCAACGGGTAAAGGTCACTTGCAAATGGCTTATTGTCATATGTCAGTAATGTAATGGAACTTGGGTGAGAGTACTTTTGCTTTCTTTAACGTTTTAATCTTTCTTTCTTTATTTGGTTATTTTTATTTCCTATGTTTTGCCAAAATGGTCGTTTATCCTTTTGGAAGTAATGATAGTCTGAAAAAGGACTGTTTGGTTAACTTCTTAGATGTTTACCGTGCTGCTCTGTCTCTACCCTCTAGTTGGTAGCCTTTTTCGCGGGATGCAAGTTTCAGCCCATGTTCTTGTTGAGGCAGTCAAAATATCAGTCGCCATGGACAAAATGTAAAAGTGGCGCTTTCTTTGAATTGCCCACAACTCAATAAATATTTACCCAATTGGAAAGAGTTTCTCGTTGTTGAAAAGCTAATGCATTATACCCTCTAAATATGTATACATATTTGCGATGTTTTTTCAAAGCTGTGACAAAGAGAGCGCTTCAAGGTGGTTGTTTTTTTGACACCATGTATAACGAAATATTTAAAGATAATAATTAAGCATGCTTTGTGCAGACTTACTCTGTGTGGCATAAGTAGTAAGGAATGAAATCCAACAGATGCTCTATGTTATAGTACTCTGCAAAAGCAAAAGAAAATAAGTAAATAAACTAGAATGATCAGGGTAAAGCCAACTTATAATTCAACCCAAGCATGTGGGCCTTGCATTTGTTTTTGTTTTTCCAAAGTTGTTTGGAATGTGTAAGGGCCCATCTTAATTCATATCCGGGACGAGTTCCGGACAAGTTGCAGGTAGAATCATTCACTTTGTCCTGAAGAAGCTCTGCATTTGTCCCGGACATGTTCCAGGGAAATGTTCATTAGCAACGGCTTGACTCATCACTACTGATAACTTCATTGCGGGAAGATTGCAGGGAAGTTGTTCAGAATCCTGCAACTTATACCCGATACAATGTCTGTAACTTGTCCTGGGTTTGAATTGAGACAGGCCCTAATACAGTAAAGATTTACTGATAAGGTCGTTTACTATTATGAAACGAGGCGAGGTGTCAACTTAAAAAAATTCAGACACTAGCAATGGGACAGAAATCAAAACAAACAACCACCATTACACCAAACTCCCAGACACATGTTTTAACCCAACATTATACTTGAAGCATTTTGATGTGAACCTTCTGAAAGACTTTATCCTTTCAAATCCTTCACAGTACACAAATACAATGGCATGAAGTATTAGCATCAAGTCCCATGGTAAAATAGCAAAATCAGACCTCATTCTAAAGGATCTGGAAGGGTTTGGGTTAATCTTTGAGAACCTGTTTACTTACGTGAGTCTCTGTCCAGGTTGAAGTCTGCGTCTTTTTCCCAAGGATAATAGATGTTGAAATAATGACTGGGACTATCGCTACCGTCATCCTGTGTCATGGAATTCAAAAGTCAAACATTACAAACAAAACATACTTTTGTAGGATCTTACAAATCTACATGTAATTGAACCGACAAAATATGTCAGAATACTGAATCTGGATAGATATATATGACAGCAGTATTGGAACAGTACCTATTCAATCAAATTCACAACTGACATTACATGTAATGCTTCATATATTTGAAGGTTTATGTTAAGAAAATCATTTAACATCAATTGGCAACACAGCAAAAATATGACATTTGGCTAAATAAAATAATTATCCAAAGAATTAAGATAACATTCTTAGCCCCCCCCCCCCCCTGCGAAAAGTTGTTTCTGGATCCGCCCTTCAGCCCATAAAACAACCAGTCCAGCACTTTTGCAGTCAAGTACCGGTATGTAAAAGAAAAAAGTGGTGTCAGGCGGTGGAAGGCAAGGACAGTAATGACTGCGTCAACCTGACTCCCCTGATAGTTGGGGCGTAACATGTGCTAAGTATTGTATGGTAAATGGAAAACATAATATCCTTAAAAATGACTCAGTCGCAAAGCATCGGGAATGATGAGGAGGTTAAAGGACAGATACCAGGTCTTAACCTGTACAAGGTATAATGTGTGTTCAAATATTACACCTCTCAAAGTAGATCATGTCCAATGACGTCAGTGTTACACCTCAACTATGGTATTGGTTCCAACAATAGTTGGGACAATCCTAACTGTAGTTGGGATCATCCCAACTATAATTTGGACTATGTCATAGTTTGGGCATTACATCACTACTCACCTTGGTGAATGTGATACCAACCACCAGACCAGATGACTCAGGCTGCTTAGTGAAAGCACTGATAGACGCTAACTCTGCATCATCTGCAACATTGAAATATCAGTGTAAATGCATCACAAGCTGTGAAGTGTGTAACCATGTACAGGTAATGGCCTGTAAACTAGTTGAATGAGCTGATATCATTATCTACAAACTAGTCCCATAAGTTCAGGAACAGAAAATCAGAAAGACTGTAGTACCCTGACGCCACTGTGAAAGAGGCCCTTTAGAGACCACACAAACTTGCCTTGTCACTATACACTGATATTGATATACGGCTTCTTTCAGAGCTATGAAATATTGCAAATTGCAGTATCACTGCAATATTTTCCAAAAAACATTTGCCTTAGGGAAAAGTAAAACAAACTTCTTACAGTGGTCGAATGAAAGGTTATTATCTGAGAAATAAGGTTAGAATTAGATGACACTCTTTGAAATATGTTTGTAAATGGCAACAGGATTTTTTTTCTAAGTCTGAGAAAATAATAATAATATAATAATAATATTGGAGTCTTATATAGCGCACATATCTACCAACTATTAGGTACTCAAGGCGCTGGAGATATGTCTATTATTGAAGAAAGGTAAATAAAGTTTATGAGAAATATGAGACCCATTATGAAGCACCTTATAATGGTTTACAAGATGCTGCGGCGCATATTGCAGCCACTGCCAGAAACACCGGGGCAAACCCCTTCCCTTGACTATAAGTGTTACTGGGTTCTTTAACGTGCATTACAGAACACACAGGACCTACGGCTTTACGTCTCATCCTAAGGACGAAGCAATAATGGTAAAGTGCCTTGCTCAAGAGCACAAGCACCATGTTCCCACGGTCAGGATTCGAACCCATGTACCACGGCACACGAGACAAACACCGTAACCATTGCACCACAGCACCCCACAATAAGCATCCAGTCTGTTCTGAATTACATTTTTGCATGGCATAACCTATTTTGAAAAAAAAGTAGGCCTATGTCAAAATAATAATAATAATAATAATTAAAAATCAAAAAATGGGGCCCGTAACTTCAAAGTTTCACATTCACCAGGGCATTACATTCTTTCCAAAATGGGAAAGAATGTTGCATCCTGACCCCTTTTTTCATCATATGTTTAATACATACAAAGACATGAATCTGGGACCGAGAAACATTTCCAATTTTGTAATGTTAGAAAATACTTTGAAAATGCACTCGAATCTCCATTGACTTGGTCATTGTACTCAACAAACGTCAGGAGACGCCAGTCTGGCTACATTCTTTCCCCAAAACGTCGTGTATTAAGCCACAGAGCACAGGAATTCAACAGATTCGCGCGGCTTTGTCCCCGTGTCTCCTGTCAAACAAGGCAATCAAGAAAGTGAGTGCGTAGAAAAGGACTGCATAAATACAGGGCGGAGCAGACGATACCTGGATTACTGTAAATGAACTGCACATCTCTAGCAACTGGCTTCAAATTCCCCCTATCTTTGACATATTCCAGACACAAAACATTATCTTTGAGAGGTGCAACAAGTACTTTACTCCCTCCATCAGGAAGACGGAAAGAAGTCAGCCCATAAACGTTACTTTGGTTGGATAAACATGCAAAATGCGCCTCCCAAAAGCAACATGACAGCGACATTTTGAATGATGCATGCTGGGAATGTAGTGATCGGAGTCGACTATTTTGGTAGGGGGTGGATAATTTGAGTGCTGCCATTTCATTCCATTTTTGGCAAATTGTCCCCTTATATTCACAATTATTTTTCAAACTAAAAATAATCTGTGAGATGGTCAATTTTGGGGTTAAATTGTCTACTTTTGTTGAAGAAACAACGGGTTTTAATTTTCCAATGAATATATATACTCCCTCTAAAACAAAATGGAATCTGAGGTGTTCTATTTTTAGAACTGTGATTGCGCCATGTGTTTTTAAAGATGGCGTCCGCCAGAGCAAGCCCGAGTAACTCAGAGAAGACAGAAAACTCAACAGAAACCGTATCGAAAATGGCAACAGAAACAACAGATGGCTTCCAAAGTGTTAGATCAAAGAAGGGAAGGAAGAGGAAAATGGAAGATGACAAAATGGAGGCAGAAACTAGTTCCAAAAGACCTAATTTCCCCCCGTTAAGTGGGGAGAAACTTTTGGTAAGTAAACCGAGTTGTCCCGAGTCGAGTTGTCTCAACGGTCGACTTGTCCCGAGTCGAGTTGTCTCAGCGGTCGAGTTGTCTCAACGGTCGACTTGTCTGACATTGTAAGAAAAGATTCAAAAAGTGCTGAACACCATAGCACAGGTTTACTGTCTCAACGGTCGACCTGTCTGACATTCAGTAAACCTAGCTCTACTGAGTGGAGCGTTGAATTACGGGTACCCCTCCATACAAACGCTCCACCGATTTGCCATACTTTGGTAGCACCATACACGGTCGTCATGACGGTATGCATTTTGTGCATGCCCTCGCGAGGACAAGGCCCAAAAAACCTGATAAAGAAAATACAAATGAGGAAGACAGTAACCCTGGATAGATCCACACATTCATGACATTCCATATGACCCCTCAAATTGTTTCAAACAACCGGTAATTTTGAAATAAGAACAAAATAGTCTGAACTTACCGCTCACAATTAAATGTGTCTGCCGAGTTGCACAGTCTATTTCACTGACATGACTGATGCATAATTCATTGCGTCAATAGCTGTTTTATGTAGTCATATGTGCCCCGCGCCGTCTGACTGTGGGTTTTTGGTGCGGGCCACATATCAGTACATGAAACAGTCATTGATTAAGCGCGACTTGTTTTTCTTCAATAGTGACGTCACACACGCGCGCAATGAATTATGCATCAGTCATGTCAGTGAAATAGACTGTGCAACTCGGCAGACACATTTAATTGTGAGCGGTAAGTTCAGACTATTTTGTTCTTTTTTCAAAATTACCGGTTGTTTGAAACAATTTGAGGGGTCATATGGAATGTCATGAATGTGTGGATCTATCCAGGGTTACTGTCTTCCTCATTTGTATTTTCTTTATCAGTTTTTTTGGGCCTTGTCCTCGCGAGGGCATGCACAAAATGCATACCGTCATGACGACCGTGTATGGTGCTACCAAAGTATGGCAAATCGGTGGAGCGTTTGTATGGAGGGGTACCTATAATTCAACGCTCCACTCAGTAGAGCTAAGTAAACCTTAGCCCAGGTTGGACGAAGTCTTCATTGCAATACGACTAACGTCCAGGACAAGACTTTTCGACATGAAACCATCCCAACATTTTTACCAGAGTTTTGTTATGTTTTACCTCGTTATAGAAGCTTATTTCACGCCTACATACTCTATGTATCCTTATCTATTGACCACTGGGTTCAGGAATTCCATATGCGATGCTGACTGACGTTAATCAGGAAAATAAACTCAAAAGCAACGTTAAACTTGTACGTGTTTGTAGTCTCTTTTCATCAGTTTATTCCCAGAGTCGTACGTCATGCATAATGTACAATGTACAAAATGTACGTGCGTACGATCCGAAAGCGCGCACGCACGCTAGCGCCCTCATTTGTTTAGTTTTGGTTGGAACCGTGACGTCACTCCAGCTAACCGATGTCACGAAAACGCTCAACCAATGACCAAAGCCGAAACGTGTTTCTGGTAACTGGCGCGAAAACACGCTCGGTCATTGGATTAGCGACCGCGCCTTCAAGTAAGTGCGCGTGCGTATGAGGATGGTTACTAAGCAAATCGCGCGTGCGCACTGCATATTCATGCGGCATAGTCTGTCCCTCGGACCAGATGTGATATGAGCGTCGAGAATAATTGTCCGGTCTAGGGAACCAGACTACACGCTGCACAGACGTTCATGGTATGATATGTACGACTAGAATAGACTCGGCGGTGAGAAACTGATGAAAAGAGACTAAACACGTACAAGTTTAACGATGCTTTCGAGTTTATTTTCCTGATTGACGTCAGTCAGCATCGCATATGGAATTCCTGAACCCAGCGTACTAACAGATAAGGACACATAGAATACTACGACGTAAATTTAGCTTCTCCAACAAGGTAAAAATATGGAAATTATTGGTAAGAAATTCGTTCGGTTCGTTTTCGTTCGGTTGTGATCACATGTGTACTCAGGACTCCCTCCATAACGTAGGGAGGAAAGGGAGTCCACCAGGGCTAAGTAAACCTGTGCTAAGCTATGGTGTTCAGCACTTTTTGAATTTTTTCTTACAACCCTAAAAAATTTGGTATCACTGGAAAGAGGTTCACACGACAAAATCAATTACGTTTAAATCATTTTCATACGAGCTTGCGTTTTGGAGATATATATCCATTTAGGTCTAAATGGCAAACTTCAATGAAAGTAACCATTCTGTAATTTTTAGTGTCAAAGTATTATTATTTTAACATCTGGGCAATTCCACACCAAAGTGGACATGACACCAAAAAATTCAAATACATGTGACTTAAACAAATTTGGCATCAAATGAAAGCTAAAAGTCTTTATTTTCAAGATTTGAAGTCGGAATTTTATTTTTTATACATTTCGGTACCAAAAAATAGGATTATGTAATAATCCTGTTTTAATCCTAAAAATGTTATTAATAGTGATATGAAAGTATTCTACCAATAGACACACAAAAATATGTACTAATGCCATCAGTTTCTGTCATGAGAAAGTATTGGTCTTGAAAAACCGACTAAAACTTGTTTTTAACATTTTGCGTAATTTGTTTCGCTTCAGTGACTTCTAATATTTCAGCCTTCGAAAATGTCCTTCCGTTACCGAAAAAATACATATTTTTAATTTATTTTTAAAACTTGCAGTATGAATGCATTGAAAGTTATTGTGCAAAGCAAGTTTAGGTAGGCCTTCAATATGACATTATAACTGACACTGCTGTACTTCTCGTTTTTTAATTATTATTAATTAAATCACGTCCTTCCGTTACCAAATTGGTAACGGAAGGACGGTAACGGAAGGACAAATCGTATTTTTATCAAATATTACGACATTTGCGCTCATGTTTAAAAAATGAAAATCACTGCAAATACATGCATGTATAATGAGCATTGAAAGGATATTCATGTGACCCACCTTCACAAAGCGGGAAAAGCAGGGCAAGGTGTTTATTACAAAGGAAGGCACAGGCATGTACAACATGTACAATGTACATACATACATACATATGTGCCGATGTACCAGTACTTGTACATGTATGGAGTTGTTGCTGAAAATCAAATCATAAAGTTGCTGCCATCAGCATTCATGGACAATAGAGAAAGATACGAATTCTGTGAAGCCATTCCAGAAGCAAATTAAGTCAAAAATGAGATGGCAGAAAGTACCGGTACTTTGGGGCACTTTCATTCAATTTACATGTGTAAGACATGTGAGGTGCAATCTTTGACAAATTATGCCCAAGTTAACAATTTCAGTTTGGATGTTTATAAATTAATTGTTACTACTCTAAATCATTGTAATTTGATTTCAAACATTGATTTTAGAGTTCAATTAAAAGCAACACCTAACTGAAGCCATCAGTTCTACCGGTAGATGTTTTTACCTTAAATGTACATGTAGGCTAGTCGCCCCACCCTTTAGGTAAACCTTTGAACCTACCGGTATTATTATTAAAAGTTGTTGGTGAACATGTAACCAGTATACATGTACTCAAGAGTTCAAATACTGTGTATTTAAACTTTTAAGGATGGAGGTGATGGGTTTGAAGTCTATTTCTGTAGTAGTCCTGTGTTCGTGAATTATGTGTTTTGGGTTGTTTTCGTTTTTCTTTTGTTATCATTAATTAGCAGGCTTCTATCTTTATCTCAATAGTTTCTTGGGTATAATTATTTATGCCAGGTCTGCATATTGTTGATTTCACATTCAGTTACACATTTCAGCAATTTGTTTCACTTGTATAATTAGTGTTAATTCACATTTTGTTCATGCTATAATTGAGTAAACCTTTTGTCCTTCCGTTACCGTCCTTCCGTTACCAAATTATAATCTGCTTAAAACGTTGTAATTATATTACCGAAACACTTAAAGTCAAATGAAAGGCGGTATAGTATAGATAAAGCTTCAGGGATTCCATTTCCTACCTTTAAAATATAATTGCCCCATAAAATTCACAGAGTTTACGCAAAACGCGAGTAAGTTGGAAAACCCTTGTCCGTTTTACCGTCCTTCCGTTACCGACATCATTAATATTCATAATTCATAAACGGGAGGCATTCATGCCCCCCAAAAGTGTGGAAAATGAAAGTAGCATTATAGTAATACAATTGTGACATTTGTTTGCTGTAACTATTAACAGTGTCTGTGATACACACATTTGAAATTTTGTTTAATGAGTGAAAACGTCCTTCCGTTACCGTGGAATTGCCCATCTCTAAATTTTCCCACAACATTCCAAACTTATCTAGGTGTTTAATATCATAGGAATCCTTATAAAGAAAACAATAGTTTGATTTTTGAATCAGCTTTTTATATTTAGCGGTAACACACGGGTAAAAACTTTCGATTCACGCTACACACAAAGTGGCAACACAGAACATGCACGCGTACATATATGCGTAATCGCCATTGCCGCGTGTCAGACTAAAATAGGCATGCCGATACAAATTCCCGTGTTGGCTTTTCTCACCAGCGTTAAACTGCCTTTTTTATGTCATTCTTAACTAAAGATATCCATATTTTGCATTTATAATGTTTTGAGATGTTTTAACAAATTCCTATATTGCTAAAATCCATCATTTTCTTGATAACTTGAGAAGAAAATTCACCTGTTTTTTTGGTGCAAGTTCAACGGAATAAATCAATGGTGTAGCTCCCCCCATATGCACCAAATAAATTATCAACGGATAGTGGGTTTCATAATCTGCACAATCGTGTCTTTTAAAGGTCATAAGTCAAAGGAGAAAGGCCATATAAGGCACTTTTATGACGTCCTTCCAGTACGTCATTAAGCAAGATGGCCGCTCCCTGTGGCAGCTCACAACGTCTGAAGACTTCGGCGAAGTATGTCGAATTGGAAAGTAAATTTTACAATGTTTAACTCAGCATCTGGTACCATAGTAGCCATCATTTGAGAAATCAGAGTTTTTACTCACCAAGTTTGGATTTCCATGAAAGAGGAAACAAAATGGCTGAAGCCGCCATGCACCAATGGAGAGCGCCCTCTGTAGTTGTAGTCATGAGTCCTACTATGAAGTGTCAGTGCCAAACAGTGATAAAAATGAATCAACACAAATGAAATGTCTTCAATTTCTGTAAACGATTCCCAGGAAGGAAGTCAAGAATTGAGGAAAATCCCCGTCCCTGCTCATAGATACACACCTCTCAAAGATAACTGGATGAAGATCTACTCACCCATCGTAGAACACCTCAAACTTCAGATTAGATTCAACCTAAGAACAAGACATGTGGAAATCAAGGTAAGATGTGAAGCAAGTGTGACTGATGTAGTTAAAATGTCTTTGGGTGGTAGATTTGGTGGACGTTTTCCTCATGATCGCTTTCCACCTTGGATGACCCAAGTTCAATTTCTGCCAGGGTTGCAGTCCATTTCTGAATACATGGGTTTTTCCTCCACTGCTAACGATGAAATTTTCTCCCTTGTGTCCTCAATATTCCAAGCGAGGATTTGAGCAAATACTTGAAAAGCAGGGTTTCACATTTGATAATTGGATTTCCAAATTTGCCTGAAGTTGAAAACAAGTTGGCGAGGTTGTATGTGTTCTACATCAATTGAAAAACCACAGTAGGATGTGTTTTTCAATTGATGTAGGACTCCCTAGAATAAATCATTAACCCTCCCTCTCTGACTGGAAATTTCAACAAGGCCAGGCCAGCAGTAAAAATCAATCAAGTGACTGTTTTTAACATTTGAGACTCCCTGCCTTCATAAAGCAGGATTGACTGGCTGTGATTGTTATGAAACCTGATAGGCCTATAGCTATGCTTTGCCCATAGGAGATTGATATGCCAGCTGTGCCTACCAGTTGCAAATTGCCTGCTTTTGTCTGTTGACTGAACTTGACTCTCGCGATGCCTACAAGAAATACAATCTGACTGTTGGCGACTAGCCTGTGTACAAGGCATGGCAGGGAGCAGGATTGAAGTTTTGACTTTTTGTGACTGACCAAACAAAAGGAGGGTTTTAATAAAACAAATCATTAGATTGATTCTCATGCATTGGGATAAAATAGTGAGACATCAATTCTTCATTTCTCTCGTTCCCAGAGTTCTAAGGAAACATCAGACGTGGGAGCACTACAGAAGGGCCAGGATTTTGTCAAGGCATTCATTCTAGGTTTTGAAGTAGAGGTATGTTCCCTTTAACCCCCACAAGAAGAGTAAATAGCCCAAGTCTAGATTTGGATTTTGTTCTCCTGATGCAGTAGGTCCCTGACAAGCATGTGTGAGGTATGCTGTGAGTTTCTCTCAGGTCCGAGTGCCAAAGTTCTCAAGGCTTGATTTGATTCATATTGTTGATAGCGCCCCAGGGCCACTTGACTGCGCTTGCCAGGGATTGGGACCAGCTGGTGTAGGGGAGCAAAATCCAATTCCACCCTCGGACCAAGTAAATAAAAAGGAAGTACAGTCTATCACGAGCCAATATAGCCCATCAGGCCGGCGTTCATTTCCGGTTTCTTTGGCATGAATTGACTGAGAAAGCTCCATTCCCCTGGATGGGATGCCAGTCCATCGCAGGTTACTCCCCAGCTAATACCGGTACCCATTTATACTCCTGGGTGGAAAGAGGCAAGTGGGGGTGAAGTGGCTTGCCCACGGACACAACATATGTCCAGCAGCTGGATTCGAACCCCTGACCCTCTGATCATGGGTCAAGAACCATAGCCACTAGGCCACACTCCTTGTTACATCCTGTCTTGAGATCAGTCCTTCCAAGCAGATTCTGTATTTATAACCATTCTGAACCTCTGAATGCATTTTAATGAAAATGGGGAAAAGAGATAAAAGTCATTACAAAAATGAGAAGAGAAAAGATTTTTTCTTCCAAATAAAATTTTATATGAAACTAGACTTATGTTTGTGGACAAACACTGGGCTGTTTCGGACACCTTTTTTGTGTGAGATGTGACATGTATAGTTTGAAGTGAAAGTTCCATCCTGGAAGGATGTGTTCATGTAGTTCTGTAGATAATTATTGAGAAATGGTGGGATATTGTCATTGGGCTTGGAATTATGTATCTCCAGTGTGATGTCATGTGACACGTGTGATGACGTCATTATGACATCATTTCAATGTTCATCTATAACACATCCCGGTCTAGGTACATACCAAGTTTCAAACCAATCGGACCTGTAGTTCTAGAGATATAGGCCTTGAAAATATGCACATTTAATGTGACATCACTTTACACATGATGACGTCATGATGACGTCATGATGACGTTACTTAAATTTTCATCTGTAACACTTCCCGGTCTAGGCACATACAAAGTTTCAACCCAATTGGACCTATAGTTCTGGACATATAGATTTACAAGATATGCACTTTTAATGTGACATCACGTGACACGTGATGATGTTATGAAGACGTCAATGTTCCGCACACATCTGCAGGTGCTGGTCTATTTGTATGCCAAGTACAAAGGCAATCGGATTGATTTCAGTGCCCAAAATGCCGGGCAAGATGAAAACATTTACAAATGCTATGGACAAAAGTCTGAAAAAGAATTTTAGAAAAAAAAGAAAAAAAACTCACGAAAAAAGAAGCTGTTTCGGCATGTTTTGCCAAAACAGCCAATTAAAATTAATATGAGATAACCACAATTAGTAATTACTTCATAAAACCAAAGCCCCTTGTGCTAACCTTTTATTGGGAAGGTGGTTTAGCTTGATCTGAATGCCTGTTTGTTTGTTCTCTCTTAGGATGCCTTGGCGTTGCTTCGGTTAGACGAGTTGTTCTTAGAAACCTTTGAGGTAGCAGACGGTGAGTTTTCATTTATGATTCCTCATAACATTATTGCCTGATGAACATTATATAGGAAATATTATGCCAATCTTTTAATAGGGTTTAGTTTCATTCATGATCTTTCTGTGTCCCATTTTATGTCTCAACTACCCTCTGAACAGACACAAGAACATCTAAACGATGTCCATCTTCAGTCATTTATAAAACCATGTGAATATTTATTATCTGATATTAATTTTTTTAAATTTGTAAAACAGAACAACAGTTGTGCTGCCATGAGCACAAAATGCAAAAATATTGGCAAGATTTCTGATGCATCAAAAATGTGTTTTCATCTTATTTCTTCGTCATCCTTATAAAGTTTTCTTCTATTTTTCTCTTTTTAAGCAATTTTCCTTTTCTCCAACTCTTTTCCTGGCAATTGTTTTATCTTATTATTCTTTGCGAATACTCAGTGAAACCGTTGAAGGGAGACCATTTATCGCGAGCCATCGGCAGAATAGCGGGCAAGGGAGGCAAGACAAAGTTCACCATAGAGAACGTGACTAAGACGCGGATTGTGCTGGCTGCAAGTAAGATACACATCCTAGGATCCTTCCAGAACATTAAGATTGCCAGGACGGCGATATGCAACCTCATCTTAGGTAAGAATAGGCAGCATGCATCTCAGCAGTTTGAAATGGAGAAACAACCCGATGTGGGTGGTTGTTTCCTCTTCGATTTTCAAGTTTTGCAAATTTGTGATTGTTAATATGTTTAAAATAAAACTGCAAAATTTTCATGAAAACGATTTACAGAGGTGTACCAGTTCAGCATTTGCATAACGTTTACAGGCGATTGACGTTTCCTGCCCGTCAATCAGTGTGCATTGACATCACAATTTTCAGTCAGGTGACCTGAGTAGCTCGGTCACATGCACTGCAAGAAATTTATACGAACCAAAGGTGACTGAATCACAAATGTTCCATTTCTGTTTTCGCTTTTGTGACATGACTTATTAGTGGGCATAATTTGGCAAGGGAAAACCTTTCCACAATTGTAATCCAGTCAATCGAAAGTCGAGTAACGAGTAACAGGAGATGGATAAAAAAAGAAAGAATGCCTGTCTCACATTTCATTTTAATAGTTTGTGTCTCAAGGCTGGTTTGTGACTAACTTCTAATGAATAATGCTCATCTTGTGATGACTAGTGATCAATTTACATCTTATGACTAGACGACCAGTGATGACTTTTTGCCAGTGTTGAATCTTACTTTATACATGTTTTTTTATATACATGTATCACTAACTGGGATTCTTTTTCCTTGTTCTTTCATTGCATCACTATTTACAGGAAGCCCTCCATCTAAGGTCTATGGTAACATGCGAGCGGTGGCCAGTCGCAGTGCAGAGAGGTTTTAAAAAGCTGATGAAATAGACTAAATGTGAACTTACTGCCTTAACCCGAACACTCTCAAATCCTTTACAATCCACCATGTTTTTGAAGGATTTTAGTGGATTGAGGAAGGTAGGGCCCAGTGATTATTATTTTACATAAGGCCCGATTCCCTTGAAAATACAAGGAATTTGCCATTTGGATTTTGCAGAGTGGTTAATTTTGGAGGATTATGGAAGTTGCAAGTGTTGGACAGAACCTGTTTTTGGAGAAATAATTAAACAGACCATTTTCCAATTTTCAAAACAGTGCTTTCCTGTTCAGAGGAGCACAGCCCGGAAACCCCGTACATGTATATGGGCAGTGATGCAATGAAGTTTAATAATTAATTGCAAAGCTTAAAGAATACATGTACATGATCTTTTAACTTATCTTGTAAAGGAAGAAATTATGTTATTGTTGCATCATGTATGGATATATGAAAGAGTGGAATAAAACTCAATGAACACCTGATTTACAATTCCCTCCATAGTTTATTCTCTTTAATTAATATTTACCGCTCAATATAAAATAGTAATTACCGTACATATATATTTATTATCCAGTGCTCCGTGTTTCAATAAAGTCCACTAGAAAAACGTGTCACACAATCATACCATACTCAAAAATACAAGAAGCAGGGATTTGGAATTATACAGCACATTTCAGTACACTAATATATATGTGGTTTTTTTTACATGAGCTGCGAAAGTCTAAATTACCAAGTTTCTGAATGAAATGAAATGAAATGAAGATATTACATTACCATTTATAAACAAAGCGTGATTTGGCATTTTGACAAAGGAACAGGTATGTACAAAACACTGGGTGAGATACCATTTATGAACTGGGTTTGGCTCATTGGTGCTGGTTTGCAGAGTTTGTATGAATTAAGAAAACTCCAGCAGGGAATTAAAAACCCTCCCTCTCTGGCTGACAGATTCAGCTACACATCACAGCAGTCAGAATCAATCAAGTGACTGTTTTGAACGGTTGAGAATTTCATCGTTAGTTTGATACAGCCACGCTTTGACTGGAGGTGATTGATATGCCAGCTGTACCTACCAGTTACCTCTTTTGTCTGTTGATGGAATTTGACTAGTCGGTCATAGTGTTAACACAAATGCGATCCGACTTTTTTTTGTACTTGTTATGTATACAAATGCATGGCAAGGGATGGGGAAGAAATTTTTGACTGTCTGTGATTGATCAAACAATGGGAGGGTTTAAATAATTAAGCTGTAATCTCCATAATGCCTTTCCCTGATTTATAGCTGTTTGACAAGTCTATGTTGATTACAAATTTTAAATTGGCAAGATGTATTACAAGCTAGAAGCAAATATTGTAAATGTTTTGGTAGCGCTTACAGTGTGATACATGTATTTGCTATAGTTGGCTGCTGCCTCTTCATGAATCGTCTTAGTGCTACGCATAAGCTGATATCTCGCTCAACAATATAATTACCAAAATCTGCTTAATCTAAATAAACAATGGAATAAAATAAACTGTAAATCATGAAATCAAAACAAAATCTCAAATACACCACTAATTCACCTGCATCTTTATATACAAAATTACAAGAAAAGTATTGATTAGAAAAAGTGCACCACACCTTATGAAAGATTCCAGATGAGAAAAAAAATCACACTTGACACTACTACAAAACCTTTGGAAGTTCAAAGGAAATTCACAATTCCTGCCAACTACAAAATGCTCAAAATTGTTGGTAAATATGAAAATATTCAAAGGCAGTTATAAAAAGTGCGAAAAGACTTTTGGCCGGGGGGGGGGGGGGGGGGGGGAGAACACACATATTGAGTCAAGCAACAGTTTTTTACTCCAGTGGTAAAAATTCTAATTTCTGGAATTAAAAAGGAAAAAAAAGTGTTGTAGTCCATTTGAGCAAAAAGATCAGAATGTAGCCAGATTCTGAAAAGAAAATACAAACTTATATCTGGTGTGTTTGTATTTGTGGAAGTTATCCAATTTCCTGGGTGCAACAAGTGATGTATTTTTATGGATACATTTTTGCATTAAGTATGACACGGATATTTTTCTACCAGCCAATAACTTCATTCAGTCTATCTGCTTGTAATTTTATCCATGTTCTGTTTGGTGTAAATTATTTGTTTTTATTAATTTTTATAGTTTTTCATTGATTTGCAAGTTTGTTTGGGGATAGGATGTCACTATCTGTCCTCGTTTTCCTCAGTCCATCTCACAGGATGGGTGAGCCATAATTATCAACAAAACTAAAGATGAGTCACTCCAACTCCACCCAGAGAAGTCAGAATAACAACGTCTCTGCGTACCAAGGAAATTCGATCGCCCTTAAGAACTGGTACACTACCGATGCACTTACCTAGAAGTCATCACCATACTTCAGACAAAAATGTTTCTTTTTGAGGTTACATAACCAGTGAATCAACATGACCAGTATTCTCTCATTTATTTCACACTGAATAATCAATTTCAGAATAAGTTTTCTTAAAAGAGTTTTATCTTACTGCTTGGGGATATGACCCCACATTCACATTTGCCTATCCCTTTCACAACTACATGTCATTAGCGGTTTTCCATGAACAGTTGGACTAAGTAAATTATTTTCTGCTCAAGGAGCTATGATTATGTAATTTGGACCATAAAGAAAAACTCAGCCAACAGTATTCAAACATGGCAAAATCAGCTTAAAAATAGTGATGGAACTATGAAAATCTACACAAATACACCAACATATCCTGGTAAAAGCTAGACATGTGCTGCAAATCAAGAAGCTTCAATAAGTTTGTCAGAGGGGTCAAACTTATGCAGCTGCAAAATGGTTGGCTGGTATCAGAGCATGTACTGAGGTCAGTTCTTTAAACCAGGTCATCTCTCTGTGTGTGCAAAGGCCAAGAAGCAGTAGAGATGGCAATTCATCTCTTGAGGTTTTTTTTTGGGGGGGGGGGGAGGCTGGGGTTGGGGGTGCACTAGTCTATGGAATATCCCCTTGCACAGCAAGGGTCTATGATATGCGAGCAGATTTGGCGACAAATGCAAAACGAGACTAGACCATCGAGATGCTAACCATTCAGCAGGCACCTTCTATCAGGTATTCGGTAACCTGTTGTACATGTATTACAAAAACATGGCAGCCAAATTGACCAATCAACAGCTTCTGATCAAAAAGATGTCACAATTTCTAAAGTCGACTCCCATTGGCTGGTGCCTGGGGTCGCATAAAAGTTTCATTGCTGACATAATCAGAGATTCGTTACAGAGAGGGCTCCTAAGACAATTGGCGATACTCAGACTAGGGCTGCACTTGTTGAGGAGTGACCAATACTTCCTGAGAACTTTCCAAAGTTGGCAAAAAGTGTCTAACAAATTCTGAAGTTAAAAAAACTCTGTCGGTGTACACAAATGCAAACTTTCTGAGTGACTGTGGAAGAATTGTCTACAAAAGACTTGAGTTTCATTGTCCTCACAAAACTTCGAATTTTGACTAACTGCAAGTAGAACCTTTTCTCAAATGATTATACATGCTTCAAACTGCCAGTCTCTGTAGAATAAGACTATGTATGCAAGAGGTCACTGGTACAATATCACAATTAATACCTCGTAAAAATGACAAAACATGGATTATAACATTAACAGAATAATGCTGCTTATTGCAAGCATTGCTTCCAAGTTTTGCATACTTTGGAATGAAGCTTGAGACCAAGTTATTAAAAAGCATTAAGCAACATACCTGATGGAGTTTAGCATGCATTCAATTTCTGGAAGACTTTTGTTCCTGATGGTATTTTAAGGCCAAGGAAAAATTCAGCGCAAGTCATTCCTTCAAGTTACAAAATTGCTAATTTGTTGTGTCCTTACAAAGGAAGTTTTCGAAGGGCACACTAAATGAAAAGTATGTCATGGTATGCTATATAAACTGTAAAATATTTGTCTGACTGTAGGAAATTCTAGGGTAAATCTTTAAAAGAAAAATACAGAGATAATAAAGGAGGAATTTGGGAATCGAATTTGCTAACGCAACAATAAACCCCTCGGGTTTCCTCTAAACACACAAAGTGAGAATCCCACAGAATCTCACAGAATCCAACAGAATCCTACAGTTAGGAATTTTAAGATCATACTCTGATCAACCAAATCTGACAGAATTAACCCATCCTTGTATCGTGGAGTAGTAAACACAAACAAAAATGAGATCATACCCAAGAAAAATAAGGCCAAACTGTCAAGGAAAATATAGAGTGTACATTAAAATAACCGCAAACCTCACAGATAACAGCAATATGAATCATCTAACGAGCCACATCAAAACTGTTTGCTGATTTCTGCTTACAAAAAGGAGGGGTTTCAGGTTAACAGTGATCTGGATCAAATCTCATCCAGTTTTGAAAATGTCCATTTTAGTAAATGTCAATTTTAGCAAACAAGGGGAAAAGTATCAAATGGTGCGATCACAGAAATCTCAACCAAAATTTTAATTTTGTAAACTTTTATTTTAGAGGTAGATCTTTTGCAGCGTCACTACGAGCACTTGTGATTTTACACAGACAAACGAGACTGCACTTTTGTATTTACAGTGTAAATAGATCGGAGTTGTAACTTAAGATTACGGATACAAAACTTTAGACAGTGTTTACTTTCTTTTGCCATTTCATTTTAATTTCATGCCAACACGCTCTACCACAAGGCAAATCAGTGTTGCATATCCAGATACGGTATGGAAATTAAGGGGGGTTGTTTAGGTACAATAAAACTGTGACAAAAAGCAAGATTTATACAAGTCCAGAGTGGTATACAGAATGTGCAGAATAATCAAAAAGTTAAGCTTGGCTTAGAAATGTCAAAGTCCAGTTAGCTCAAGGGTGCTACACCACAATTGACAATGTTGGCTGTCTGTTGTCACAAGAGGGCGGCACACAGGCACACTGTCCAAGAAGTTCTAGTGCAGGGTCGTCAAAGTGCAGCGACATCACCATACACGGAGTTCCACTGTGCGTAGGTGGCCAGAAGATGAGGCTGAACGCTGCAGCGAATGTGTTTGATGGATTCTTGGAAGTCGGATAACTTGATGTCTCGTACCTGGACAACAAAAAGTACGCAGGTAGTTATACACCTGTAACATCTGAGTTAACTTAATTTTTTTCTTCAGGTTTTTCCCTCAAAATGACTTTCAAACTTTTTCTTCTGAGCTTACAGTTGTATCAATTGGGTAGTCAATTGAAAATGTTGATTTTACAAAGATGAGAAAACAAAGGTAATTTTGTGACTTAAATTCACATTGCCAGCAAGAAACATTTCCATGGTAACTCACACCAAAACATTACAAAGATCCAAAGCGCGTGCTTACTAAAGACCGATGCCAAGGACAAAAAAAATGTAAGCTTTTCATACTTATTATGGTTTACTATAATTAGTATGATACATATTTATATGGAAGTTAACATTTTCCACTTTTTGTCTAATTTGGTTTTTAAGCTGTCATCTGCAATTTATATGTGTGGTATTAGTTTTCATTTGTCAATATTGCGAGAACATGTGATTTTAGCAAATAAGCACAGTTTTTATACCTCTGTAGCGGCTGCTGATTTGACAAGAGTTGGGCCAAGTTCTGCAAAATCAGAAAAACAAATCTGATGAAGAAGTTGTTGCTATAAAAAGGTTTAGCAAGTTTAAATCATTGAAGTCAGCCTGCATTTAAAATGTGGCTGCCCATTGCTTAGAACATATAAAAAGTGAACACGGATCAATAGGAATGAATGAACAATAAGGTATTTCAGGCACAAAAGAGATCTTGCAATATAAGTGTTGACAACCATGGATTGCTTCTCCTTTCCTCCGGAAAAACTGCCCGGTCTAAATGGGAGCACATGTTGTTCCCGTATGGAATCATTTGATGATGTGCATACTTGTTTTAATACATAGGGACCTTTCATTCAACCTGAAAACACTGCTTGTTGGATGCAACACTGTTGCCATATCTGGGCAGTAGCGGCTGCTTGTCATCTGTCCCTGCTTGACAGAATTCAGCGGCATCTTGTTACTCTTGTGGGTCATGACTTAGCTGCCTTTCTGGGACCTCTCTCACATCGTCGCTCTGTTGTCTCACTGTGCTTGTCTTACATATATTATCATGGAGAGTGATTCCAACGGTCTTTCTCTGATTGTAATCATCCCTCTCGGTGCACTACATGCTTCTTTATCCACTCACATCCATATATTCCAAACAATTCATCAGTCGAGTCAATCACAAGTCTTGTCACAAGTCCTGTCACAAGTATCAGTTGAATTATAAAAACAAAGGAATGCTTTTGGCGCAGTTCATCTGAACAGCTTGACTTGAGACTGATGACTTGAGACTGATGACTTGAGACTGATGACTTGAGACTGATGACTTGAGACTGACTTGCGATGGACTCAACTACAGTATTGATTCTACATGGACTGTTTTCTAACGAACCTTCATCTTGAGATGATTTGAGAATGTCCCTAAGTGCACACATACGTTTACACTAAGAGCAGGTTTGGTCAACGATTCTTGCCAAACTAGTGATTGGTATGTGATGAGTGAGCTCAGATCTAATAAGGCAATTCAGTATCCCAACTCCGCCTGCATCAGATATAGCGGGTCATATATGTAGGTCATTTGAGATGGCCAAAACAGCAATGTCAAAGACAACAGAGATACACCTGAGGAGTTCGTATCCAAAATGCGATATATCCATTTGAAAAAAGTATAACAGCTGTTGAAACTGACTTTAGGCAACCACAAGAGGGCGGGATTCTAAAAAGGTAACAAATGGTGTTCATCCCTTTTTGGAAACACACTTTTTACTTGTTCTTTGTCGTACTTGAAGCAATTGGTTAGGGCCAAATTTAACAAATTTAAAGGGAAGCAGTGACCTTTGCTACTTGTTTGTCGTTGGTTGTCTTTATCGACCTATGACCTGAATTACTTTATTGTGCAGGAACTAAACACTAAATTGGTGTATTGTTCGAGTCCAAGTCAGACTCTGAGACTTATTCTGATGTGACTTGAGTCGAGTCCAAGTCACTGAAATTGCGACTTGAGTCCAATTCCTGAACTCAGTCTTACAACACTGGCCATCATTGACAATATAAGGTTTGTTTAAGCTAGACCCGATCACACTAAGGTCAACTCCACTTGACAGGACATGTCCATACCTCGTATCGGTCCTAACGCTGCATCTTTGGCCAGAGCTGTCAGGTCACTCCCTGAGTAACCATCGGTCATCTGAGCTAGTTGGGTCAGATCTCCGTCAGTCAGAGGGGTGTGATGCTTAGCCAGCAGTCTGGTCAATAACACCTTCCTTGTCTGTCAAACAACAACATTCAGATAGTACTTAGGTTGAGGGTTACTCCTACATAGCAAAAATAGTGCGTGTCATACAGCATAAGTATGAATCTCGGACAAAAAGTTGCTTTTTAAATCACCATTTTAAGGGGTTATTTCATCTGGCACACTATGGGCAATCTGCATTTTCACATGTGTACACAGTGTATGTGGGTTTGATCAAATAAGCACACAAATGGTGATATCAGCTAGTTTTACCGAACCACATACATATATCCCATACCATACCATTTCTAATGTGTGCCATACTCAAACGGTATGTGATCACATCTGAAGTATACTTCATGATATATACATGTATCTGGACTTTTATTCATGCAGTTTCTGATATTAATGGTAATTTCAATATTTATCAACAAAATGAGTAATTATTTGTAGTGCGTAAAAAAAATTGATTGATGAATTGTTCACTTTTCAAAAAAATTACTTTTCCAAATACATTTTTGTTGACCATAGAGTGTACTGAGAGTTTAGATTCTTTTCTCCATGGAAACAACCAACCATTATCATTTTTTCCTAGTTTTTATTTTAGACCATAAATGTGCTGTACCTTCTTTCTTACAGAATAAAATATTTTCCCATCAATACAGGGTGAGTCATAAGAAACGAAACCCAAATGTCGGGACCACTGTTTTTGTGAAGTTCTGCATGTAGCACTTTCAAAATCTAGGATATGAAAGCTTAATTCATAAGCTTTCTTTTAGTACAAGAATCATTCAAATCACTCATGTACTTTTCAAGTTATGGAATTTTAAACACAACCACCGTTTTAAAGTTCTGTCCACGGATGACACAACAGTAATTGTTCTTTCAGTAAAACAAAAACAAATCACATACGGATGTGTGAATTGTTTTTGCTCTGCTGAAAGAACGCACACCTTTTCTTTGTGATCCATGGACAGAACACATAGTGGTTGTGTTTAAAATTCCACAACTTGAAAAGTACATGAGTGATTTGAATGATTCTTGTACTAAAAGAAAGCTTATGATTGGGCTTTCATATCCTAACTTTTGAAAGTGCTACACGCGAACTTCACTTAAACAATATTTGGGTTTCGTTTTTTTTACTCGCCCTGTATTTTGATTGGTACGTTTTACATACTGTTGCCGACCTGGTTCATTTGATTATAAATAATGTAATATGACAAGAATATAACTCAAGGATCGGTGTATTCATCCTAAGTTAGCAGCACTCTATCACCTTTCCAAGAATGTTAAAAAATAACTCAAAATAAACCCACGCAAACATCAAAGTATAAATTGACGCACAGGTGTAACCTCTTACAGCAAGTGCTGTCAATCTAGGAAAAGACGTATATACAGGAAAGACTTCATTACTGGTTAGTTGTCGTGCTGGCAACACAAATAAACTGGTTTGCATGTAAAGAGTGATGCGATGTGATTGGTGGTTTCCTAAGATGGGATCACAGTAAGTTGAGACTAACAGGTGGCTAACGAGAGATTAACCTTGTCAGAGTGTTGCAGTGTTGAAGACAAGTCCATCACAAGTGCGGCCAAAAATAAATCATAAGTCCTTTCAAGGGTCCAGACATGAGTACATCGTAACAAGGGGAGACAAAAACAAAAGCATGGCCTTTTTCACAGTTTACTTGACTTGTGAATGACTTGTGACAGCTTTGCTACAACGTTGATATATGCTGGGCTGAAAAAGAGGATGGATCACTACCAATGCTGAAAGGGGACTTTGTCTGAACTTTCTAGAGAGCACACACGTCATGTGAGGTGTTAAACCAAGCAGAAAAATATCAAACTCTGTCATCCCAGATTCTAATTAAACCTTCCTGCAACACAATTTTACTTCCCTCCCCCCACCAAAAAAAAAGAAGAAGCCAAAATTGTTTTTTCCTGAATTTTGTCTTCACACGCCAGTCTCAATCACTGATTGGATATCTTCATCTTTCTACAAAGGAAGAACTATCACTGAACTTGGATGTACCCTGAATGGATGGTTTCCTAACAAACATCAACGGTCACTTAAGAGATTTGACTTATAAGTTTGGTCACAAGGAATAGAGAGGAACAATTAACAAATGAGTGCCCTTGTCAGAGTTCATTTGAATAGCTTGGGAATTGACTTGGGACGGAAGGACTTGCGATGGACTTGTGATGGTCTTGTGATGTACTTGTGATAGACTTGTGATACACTTGGGATGGACTTGTGATGGACTTGTGATGGACTTGTGATGGACTTGTGATGGACTTGTGATGGACTTGTGATGGACTTGTGATGGACTTGTGATGGATTTGTGATGGACTTGGGATGGACTTGGGATGGACTTGTGATGGTCTTGTGATGGACTTGTGATACACTTGGGATAAACTTGGGATGAACTTGTGATGAAATTGTGATGAAATTATGATGGACTTGTGATGGACATGTGATGGACATGTGATAAACTTGTGATACACTTGGGATGGACTTGTGATGGACGTGTGATACACTTGGGATACACTTGGGATGGACTTGTGATGGACATGTGATAGACTTGTGATACACTTGGGATGGACTTGGGATGAACTTGTGATGAAATTGTGATGGACTTGTGATAAACTTGTGATGGATTTGTGATTGAATTATGATGGACTTGTGATGGACTTATGATGGACTTATGATGGACTTGTGTTGGATTTGTGATCTTGCATTAGAGTACTCTCCTAAAAGCATTGCTGCTGTCCTGGAGAGGGTGGGTTGCAATTCCATGTGTGCTCTTTGTGTGTGCTATTAGGGTGCTTATCGGATGGTGGTATTGTCAATTTGTCCTGAGAGATACAACTGGTAGCTCCATCCCTCTTATAGTTGGGAGAGCTTCTGTCTGGAACTCTTTCAAAGTGGTCGCAGTAACTTGTGATGAACTTGTGATGGACTTGTGATGGAATTATGATGGACTTGCGATGGACTTGTGATGGATCTGTGAGGATCTGTGAGGATCTGTGAGGACCTGTGAGAGACTTGACTACACTGTCTAGAGTCTATTTTCTACCTCAGCTTCAGGCATGGTGACGTATATTCTCTTGACAAATCTCCGCAGTACTGCATCATCCAGCTCCTGAGGTCTGTTTGTTGCTCCCATCACTAGGACTCTCTCATTTGGGTCGGCCGTCACCTGAGAGAAAGCAAGACAGTTAGCAGCGTTCATCCACAAACTTCTAAAAGAAACAGCTTCAACTCATTCTATACCACACAATGTCCATGTGTCTTTCGTATCTTTTTGTTTGTCATTCACAAAGTTCGAGTGTCAGTCATATCCTATTCTTTTAACACCTCTAGATCTCCTCACAACAACCTCTTTCTAAAAATAGTCCATTCACCTGGTGATCCGCAAAATTGATCCTTGAAGTCTAATTAATTCAAGCACAAAATTTTACTTGTGACAAACCGTTGTGATGCAACTTGACCCAGGAACTCATATCACACGTATGGACAAAACTATAGGTGCACTATTGTTTGTTGTTACCAGCGCTTGACCTTATACATCTAGTGTGACATCATCATGCACAGGAATAGTAGCAGTAACATAGCAAGAAGTTGTCATGGGGGAGGGTTGCCCAAATTTGTTTATTCCAGAAATGTTAAGGTCCGTAGCCAACAGTGGAAATGAAACCTTATCGACTTTATTATGTCTGATAATTAATAACAAGAAAAAATAAATACCCCGTCAAATTCCAGCAGAAATTCTGTCTTGAGTCGTCGGCTTGCCTCATGTTCTCCTTCCTTTCTCTCAGTCAAGAGAGAGTCAATCTCATCTGGAAAAGAAAAATAGGGAAAGTATGCGCAACTACAATAAAAAAATATCACTTTTTTCTATCACTCACAGACTGCTGGACACTAGGCACTAGTGAATTTCAGAAAATTTGGCAATTCGAGTTCTGAATAGCCTTCACTGGAGACATGGATGTGTTGAACTATTTTGTTGCACCAGCAGACCAATATGTTGATTTAATTAGAGATTGCAGGACTTGTTAAAGCAAGTAGCCGTCGGCCTGACTTGGGAAATCATCTCACCCCGTCAAAGGCTGTCTTCATATATTTTGTTGTAAATTTTGCTTGACATTAAAATTATGTTTGAGATCAGAGTTAGTTTCCAAGTCATATTTATTTTAGAATAACATTTTTATCTCAAAATGAACAGTTCCAATCCAATTCTTTGAACACCCCAACACATATTTTATTTCAGCCCAAGAAATCAAAAGTCAAGTTACGTCAGCACTTTTTCTACCTGTTTTCTTTTGCAGTACTTTGAGAGAAGTAATTAGGGATACTTCTGTGACTAACTACTCCCTGTTGTGCACAACTGAACAACTAAATTTCAACTGAGTAAGCACAAGCACACAGCTTTTAAACTAAGACCACAAATCCAATGTTCGTGTCGCTTTGGTTACCTCAAAAGCACCCATACATCCAATAAACAGACTCACCTATGAAGATGACCGACGGCTGTAGCTCCCTAGCAACTGAGAAGAGCGCTTTGACTAACTTCTCCCCTTCACCCACATATTTGGACGTCAGCGTTGCCGCACTGATGTTGAAAAATGTTGCATTGGATTCATGGGCAACTGCCTTGGCCTAGTGGAAAGGGTGGGAAAACTTAACACAATGACATCAATTAACACAATGACATCCGAGTGTAGAAACCCAAATGTAGGGACCATTGTTTTAGTGAAGTTCTGCATGTAGCACTTTCAAAATCTAGGATATGAAAGCCCAATTCAAATGCTTTTATTTAGTACAAAAATCATTCAAATCACTCATGTACTTTTCAAGTTACGGAGTTTTAAACACAACCACAGTTTTAAAGTTCTGTCCACGAACCACAAAAGAAGTGTGAGTTCTTTCAGCAAAACAAAAACAATTCACACACATCTTTATGTGATTTGTTTTAGTTTGCTGAAAGAAAACTGAACTTTTTTGTGCTCTGTGGACAGAACCTTAAAACGGCGGTTGTGTTTAAAACTCCGTAACTTGAAAAGTACATAAGTGATTTGAATGATTCAGGTACTAAAAGAAAGCTTATGAATTGGGCTTTCATATCCTAGAGTTGGAAAGTACTACATGCAGAACTTCTCTAAAACAATAGTCCCGACATTTGGGTTTCGTTTTTTTTTTACTCACCCTGTATAGATGGTTTGCACTGTAGCCATCTTTGAGGTGTGTTCTTTTGTTCAAAGTTATAAACATGAGTAGCCCTCTTGTGCATTCATTGTTACTGAAGTAAACTAATAAGGAGAAAACCTCAAAGATGGCTGCTCAACGCAACAGCTCTAGATTAAATCTTGTATGGAATTAATTGCCTTCATCTGAGGGAATTCAAACAATAGGCTATGACGTTCAAGCCTTTATATCTGCTTGTCATTTCTAGTAATTAAAAATCTTTTTTAGCTGACAAAAATACACAAAGAATTACATATAAACACTACCCTTCAGGAAGAAAAAACATGAAACAAATAAATGACACAAAGACTGGATATTATCGCGATTTACAAGAAAATAGGAATCATTTGCATTTATCCCAAAAGTAACCTACTGAATTATTATCAAAATGCTTACTTGGATTAAAGATTGTACTGGTACGAAACACCCTGCAATTATTCCGTCTGGCTTGCTGCCATTTACAAGAAATCAAGAAATGTAGGTGATTTCCAACAATCAGTCAATTGACATAGTTTTTGAAAAAAAGAGTGCTATTTACAAAATCGTGTTTCGTGACAGAAGTGTGTTTCACAATCATGTTTCGCAAACCAGTGACCAAAAGCTTGTGCATAATTTTCACTGTTTTCTCAAAAAAGTGTACTATCCACTGAGCTGAAACATGTTAGGTTTTGAACATTCTTCAAGTGATCATTCAGCAAACGATCCTATTTTCCTTTAAGGTCAGAAAAATTGTTGTAGTTTCTTTCCAGTTATCCAATGGCATTAATAATATCTACCACAATATCTACCTTAAAGTATGAGGCAGTGCTTCTGATCCTGATTAAGCACAGTAATCTTACCAGCATTGTTTTGCCGTTACCAGGTGGTCCAAATAACAGCAAGCCCCTGGCAGGTGCTCGCAGACCGGTGAACAACTCCGGCCGGAGAGACGGCAGAATAACAATCTCCTCAAGGGCTTGTTTGGCTACCTCTTGTCCCGCTGGAGGGGTGGGGGAGGGGGCAGGGGAAGAGAGGGGAACAGGGATGGGTTACATTACACTTCCTTCCGAGTTTCAAAGTTAAATTGGCTTGACTCCCAGCGGACAGGATGTTAGAATTACAATTACTCCATCAAATTAACTTCTTACTGTGCTCGGCTACGATCCAGGTCTTTTGTTAGTGAGAATATTGTTATTGGGATTTATAATTGATTTTTTTTTCTCTCTTCAAATTAAGGCAGCACAAAATAATCGGTATTTTCCATGACTTTTTCATGACTTTGCCAGGACAAACTTAGGGCTTTCCATGACCAACTGCTATGTTGTTTTGGCATCTTAGGAGCCTATTGCTCTCGAGATAAAGAACGCCACTCCCTTGCAGACACAAGACCAAAAGCATCACAATGGTGCACTGAACGAGGAACAAGTATGGAGTGGAAGGCATAAAAGAGGAAGTATGGAAAACTGGAATGCAAACTGGAAGACTGCCATTGCCAAATATTACGCATCATCACGTATGGGTTGTGCAGGATTCCACAACTTTTGCATGACTTTTTTCCTGGAAAATCAACTTTCCATGACATTTTGTAAAATAACAAAATTACATGACTTTTCTTTGACTTTCCATGATAGCTTTAAATTCCAGGATTTTGCTAAGACAGTGGCAGCCCTGCTTATTGCCAGGTCCATTGTATCTTACCAATGTCTTCAAATTTAACCGGTAGCCCATTATCCATAATCTCATCCAGTATGCGGTGCGCCAGTTTGGAATCCACATTCTTTAACTTGTTGATTTTCAGCCTCACAGCCGACGGTGCTCTTTCATTGGTTGGTGCATGGTTGGCGTTGGTGATGTCTTTCCTAGTGAGGCCTCTTCCCTGGAGAGGAAAGGAAGAAGAAATAAAGACATTGCTCAAATAACCATAGAAAGAGGGGAAAAAAGACTGCTCAAAATAGTCACAGTTTATCAAAATACTCAGTGTATTACCTCCTCTCGGGAGGTAACACACTGAGTATACAGTGTTATACGTCAGTGAAAGGCAAACCTAATTTGATTTACATCACCCCGACGCAAAAATCCATCTTATGAATAGTCACAGTTTGTTCACGATGGTGAATACGCCAAACTTAATAGGCTTGCTTCATTATTATAAGGGATGTACTGGCATGGGCGTCGCCAGGATTTTTTCTAGAGGGGGGCAAACAAAATTTTTGCCAAAAATGCTTGCATTTCTCAACATATTCTCGATTTATCAGTTTTAGAGGGGGGCAGGGACATGTTGCCCCCCCCCCCCCCCAACTCATTAAATTTACACCACTTTGTCTTCGTGCCTCTTTTTCTTTTCTTTTTTCTCTTTTTTTTTCTTCTTCTTCTTCTTCTTTTTTTTTTTTACTTTTCCAGGGGGGGGCAATTGCCCCCCCTTGCCCCCTCCTCGCTACGCCCATGTGTACTGGTAGTAATAAGTCCCTGCAAGCCCATTACAAGTCCCCCAGTCCCAATTCAACTCACAAGCTATTCAAATGAGCTTTGATAAAGACATTCCTTTGTTGTTGTTGGTCTTCTGTTATTTGTGACTGAACTTGTGAATGGATTTGTGATTTACTTGTGACTGGACCTGTGACTGGACTTGTGACTGGACTTATCATCGGATGGACTTGACTACACCCTTGATATTATGCACTCTTGCAATAAACACCTGAAACAACCTTACATCTGTTCATTATGACCTTTATGAAACAACCTGACCAAAACAATCATGAAGTCAGTACACGTGAAAATGTTTCTCCAGATTTACCATTCCATTTTTGTATGTTTTCAAGTGAATAGCGTAATGTTTATTTCCTTCCCTAATAATAACCTCAAGCTAAAATCAATCAGTGTTTACACGTACCGGTATCTATAGTGTGTTTTTTTACTGGTCACAGTCTGCATGTGTTCTTATTGGTTAGAAAAATTACTCCCTTCCTCCTCCTCCTCCCCCCCCCCCCAAAAAAAGGAAGAAATGGCCCAGGTAGGGAGAAAATATCTCCCAGAAAATAGCGAAGCGGAGTTTTCTGAATAGAATTACTTCAGGGGTTCCCGTGTCGAGACCTTAGGTTATTATCACCTGTCTATTCTTCAGGGTACATTCAAGCAAACACCTTCACACAGCATGTACACGTAATGTGCCTGTGTAGGAATTCATTAGAATTCACGGCAATCAATAACAGCTGGACTCGCGTGTTTCATTCATTAGCTTCCTGTGCCAACCCGTGGCAAATTGCTGAATAACAACCAATTAAACCAGAAACAGTATCAAGTGCTTCGACCCACAGGGGGACCAAAACATCAATATCTGGACGGTTTGGACGTAAATGGAATTAGGATATAGGCGTATGCTGCACATACACATACACTGCACACACATGTACATGGGTTGAGTAAGGGAGAATTAGGTAACCGTAAATGCTGCATGTCATGCATGTACAGAAGTACTGTACGTACACTTCCATGCACCATGCTTATAAAGGAACCTGATGTAATACTCTTATACGAACCTGGGGTAACCTGCAGTCCCATATTTTCACGAATTTTTAGTTTGCGGGCTTTCTTGAAATTGCAAGTTTCATTTTATTGGAAGATCCCCCAATTTTCTCCGGGGTCTCTGACTATAACTGCATAGACTTGTTAGCAGTCTTTTTGGTTCATGAACAGCCTGCCCGTTTAACTGACTATATTTTTTCAAGATTACAGCTCTGGAGTGTTTTAGCAATTAAAGATCCAGTAGTCATTAAATCCCATGAACTACAATATGCAATCATTGTGGAGGACATTGCATGTGGCACCTCACTCTTCACTTCTTCATGACCTAAATAGGAACTTCCGGTAAAATCGGATAATGTTATTCGAGTAAAAACACGACAACAGCATTTTGAAAGCTCTATTTCTACCATCACTAATTTTTGAAGACAGTTGCAATTTATAAGGGGAAGGGAAGGATCAAATTTTTGTGACCAATTGATTCAATTTTGAAAAAGTTAAAAACGAAGGCTGTTTCCGCAGAACCTAGTGCACAACCCTGCCCTGATGAGAGGTAAGCATGATTGACTGTTCTTGTTAGCACCATAACATCATGCTTCTACAGCTCTGGGGCCAATTTCACGGCGCTGCTAAGCACACAAATTTGCTTAGCACAAAAAAAGTCTGGCTTATAAAAGCAGGTTACCAGCCAAAACTCCACGTGATGTATATTGCTAGTGATTAGTATTCAGGTGTTGTTTGCTTAGCATGAAATAACATGGACTTTTTGGCTGATAACCTGCTTCTATAAGCCAGACTTTTTTTGTGCTAAGCAACTTTTTGTGCTTAGCAGCGCCGTGAAATTGGGCCCAGGTGTGCTTCTTATAGACTTTGCGCCCTGTGACATCATGCCGACAGGAAACCACCGGGCAACCCAAACATGTAAGCATCTATTACATGTTATTTGGCCCACATTAAACATTATGGCAACACTTTTAAACCGTGCATATTTCAAGAGATATACATGCAGTGCAGAAGAAAACGGTTTGCTGACAGTTGGCATCACGTGACCACATCATCCAATTTGTAAATAAATGTAACATGGTCTATAAGTGAAGACATAACCGGTTTGTACACCTTTGAACAAAAAGTGGTCATCTACATGCAACTTACACAGGGGTGCGTTTTGGCGGTCATAACCAAGAATTGGTTCGGTGGTTTCTCTTTGGCTAATTGTTTTGGGGATTTGAGTACTACATGATCATGCGTATTTCTAACCCAATTAAAATTGCTGAAGAAATTCACCGACAAGAAACTACCGAACCAATTCTTGGTTATGACCGCCAAAACGCACCCCAGGTGTAAACAGCTGCATACGGACAATCATCTTTGGGCTCTTACGATTAGGCCACACATCTACGTACATGCAGTTCCTGAACGGAGTTCATACTCCCTCCTAAAAGAGCCTCTGCAGCACCCTGCGTTCAATCATGTACCCGGTATTCTCATGAATACATGTATGTATGGTTTACATGACCCCCTCTCAGAACCCACTTCAAATCACACAGTACATGGTTGTGTTCTATTTACGTGGCCACCGCATGACAGTACACATCCAAAATGAAGACGCTAAAGGCATTTTCCATAGTCAAGTGTGTTATTGCCTGCCATAGTCAAGCCATTTGGACAGGGGCCCAAGCCATCAGCAGCTATTTTCAGAGTGATTGATAAAATCGTGCATTTTCCAGTACACTTGTGGACAAAAATAGCCTGAGAAGTTAGTACTGAGATGGTGCTAGTCTGGACAGTATGCCTGTGGACAGTTTAGGGTCAATGTTAGAATTAATATGAAGCCATGTAAGTGTTTGGGGCAGTGTGGCCTAGTTGTTAGGGTTCAGCAGGTCAGGGGTTCGAATCCAGCTGCTAGTCATTTGTTGTGTCTTTGCAAAGCTTTGGGCACCCACTTCACCCCCATTTGCTTTTCTCCACCCAGGAGTCAAAAATGAGTTTCGGTATTAGTTGGGGAGTAACCTGCGATGAACTAGCATCCCATCCGGGGGAATAGAAATATTCTCAGTTGTTTCATGCCAAGGAAACTGGAGATAAATGCCGGCCTGATGGGTCATATTGGCTTGTGCCAGACTTTTACATGCAAGTGAGTTTTGGTTCCTCCTCACTTCCGCTGGCTACTCCTAAAGTGCAGAATATAGTCATGCGTACAGTGAGTGCATGCATGTTGCACATTTGCGCAATCATGGAGCAAGTTGGATCAGGCACCATTAGTTGACCAGTGATTGATTCGTGAACTCATGCTTCCGCACTAATAACAACATGCAAACTTCTCTAGTCAAACGATCACAAAACCTCTTGATCCTGACTTATAACTGTTAGTTGAACTGTGGTTATAACTGTATAGTGCCTGATTGAACTTGCTTATGGCTGTGATTGGTCAAAAAATCAACGGGCAGGGCTTAACGGACCAAGCTATTCAGGCAAAAAGGTTTTGAAAGTATTTGTTTGTGTACAGACCCTTGAGCATGTAGTCAGCGCTGACTCTGATCCATGGCTATGTCTCTGAGCATAGGTAGCAGGTCGTCTCTCTGGTGTCGCTGGGCTTCTGCTCCGGATGCCTTCACGATGGGTAGAGCGAGGCAAGACGCTGGTCTTGTGAGTCATCTTGGGTGAAGATATTCTCTCGTTTCCTGCAAGACAGAGAGAACAGATAGCAACTGTGAATACCCAGCCACAATGCACACAGCACTATTCATGTACATATTAATCCAGTTTAAAACATGAATGCTTATGGACACCATCATTATTCCTGAGGAATTTGAGAAAATGAGAAACCTTTTCTTCAGCTACATTTTTTGTAAGTGAAAGAGAATCATCTTCTGCCGTCCGTGCGTCGTTTACCGACATTTTTCACTATTGCACAGATTGACACACATGTAATGTCATGATGACTGCGTCAAGTATGCTGTCATTCAAAAATATTCATAAGAAAATATGGTGTTTTACAGAAACAATACAATTGAGCTGATACACTTTTACAGCTATACATGTACGCTTCTCTGCTGTACTATGCAAGTTCACAAAGCTAGGTCCATTACAATTTCTACACTGCATGGATTTTTACCGGTACATGTAATTTATCTTTTCATAGACATTTACATGTACAATATTTTTTGAATAAAGCAGGGAATGCACAATGAAGTTCAGTTCTGCAAACTTGTCTATTACAAGGTAGAAATGTCCTACAGTATGGATCTAAAAGCAACATGGAAAACTTATCCTCTTTTCCTTTTACATGCAGAAAGTGGATGGACTGATGGAGATGACCAAGAAATTATAGAATGGATCATCATGCATCCAAATTGAAAATATCTTCCAATCGACTTTGCACAATTAAAACGGAACCAAATCCCAAATGGCATTTTATCTGCCAGCACCCAACGCAAGCCCTCATGTCTGAAATCAATAGCCAACGTCCAGGTTAGATGGCCTAGTGTGTAAAAAGCTGGCGAGATATTTGCGTTGAGTAACACAATCCTATAACAATATTGGGATTTGCCTGTTTTCACTCTAGAGAAATCTTGTAGATAGCACTGGGGCAAATGAGGCTTCTGCACATTAGAATGCAGCACATTAATGCACAGATCTGCACTCGTATTGAACATGGACAACATGAGAAGGGGTGGGGAAATTCGACCACTTGTTACTGAAATAACACACGAACGGGTGAATTGTGATTGGTTGTCTAAGGTTTCTGATGTATTTGATGTCCGTGCTGCCGAAAATGATGTCAAGAATGTTAGGAATATTCACACATTTTTAAAGAAAATCTCAAAGAATATCACATGACATAGAGGAGGCAGCTGATAAATTCAAACTGAGTGAATCACCTGATATCAAGTTAAACAAGAAAAATTGCATCCTGTGTGAATGACAGTCAGTTTGATTAACACTCGAGAATTGAAGACATGTATGACAAATAGGAGCCGTGTGCCATGCGCACTTTTTTTCTACAACACACTAGTCTGTCAGTGAAAATATGACTGAAGAATTGGTTCGTTAGTTTGCTGAACTTTCCCTAAAGTAGGCCAGTGGAATTTGACGCTGTCCAAAAACACATCCAAACTATGCGTATACTAAAAAATTAGATTGGCGCAAATTATCTTGAAGTGGTTCTCAAATATATGATATGAGATATCGGGTGGTAAATGTACTATCGATCAGATTGCCATAGTGACTCCAATAACGCGCAGGCCGTTATTCAACCCGTCATATTGTTCCCAACGCATGACTCATATCTGACTGTACGTTCGGATCATAACAATCCCATTTTTTTCCTGATCTGATTTTATTGTGGTGGTGAGTCGGAGGGTTGGTATTGGACGTGTGTTCTACAGATATGACAGGCGATGATTGGGAAGAAGCAGCTTGAGGCAGAACTGGAGATGACTGAAGACCAAGATTTAATCAAATCAGAGAGATGTTCCCTGGCAACCAAGCAAGCAGCTGGAATGCATTCATGATGCGAAGAAGACATGTTCAAGGATGGGATGCTTTGACAGATTTGGAAAATAAAATCATCTTTGTAAAATTAATTCACGAGGGAGTTATTAATTTGAAATTACCGAGCAGGGAGCACCACAAAATGAACCAAAAACAAAAATGGTTTTAGTTGAAGTATCGGTAGGAGTTGAGCACGAACCCCCCGGACTCAGGCTCATTAAAAATGCACTTGGCTTTAATTTGGATCATACTGCACAGTTCAGGGTTTAAAGCCTCTTGGCACACTGTGGTATTTTTGTGGGCCCTAAAATTTGTTGTAGGCCCTCACATTTTTCGTTTGCCCCCCAATTTTTTGTTTAAGTGCCATAGTAGAAATTATCTGAGCGTTGACTTCACTCTGCAATTTTTATTTAATTTTCCCCATTTGCCTTTTCAATAAAATCCTCTATAATACATCAATCTGATGATGAATACTAGCAACTGCCAGTATACACGATAACAGCCATAAATTTGTAGATGTAGTTCCTTCAATTTGCCTGTCATTGTCATTCTTCCATCACTTCCGTTAATGTCCTGCAGTCAACCACCACTCAATCCGCTGCAACCATCTCAATAATTGACTCTCCCATTCCATTCAATTTTCTCCGCCATTGCTTCAGTCATCAAGTCGGCCAGTCATCAATTTAGGATCAGCCTCACTAGTCATGCCCAGATCAGACGCTAATTTGCCCTTCATGGTTTGTCACTGAAGTCAATTTATGTCCTTGACTGCTGTAAGCAATGGAGTTGCTCGAGTTTAAATGTCATCTTACACTTTTTAAAGGCTACACGTATGTCCATGGACATATTTTTGCATTGGGAGATGCAAAAACGATTATCAGGTTTTGCCCTCTACTTTGGGCTCATTGGCAAGACACTGAATAAGCTTTCCAATGATGTATAGAATATGGGAATCAGACACAATGTGACTGAGTTATGTACCTGTACATGTAATTTCAGTTCCCAATTTTCGGGCCTCAGTAAATGAAAAAAAAAACATTGGGAAATTTGAACTCCTTAGAAAGTTTACAAATTAACTTCATTCAAAGAGAAATATATTTATTATTCATTTGTCTTATGCCTTATTCTAAATATCAATATTTTTGCATGAACAATGTAATAAAGACTGCATGAGACATGAGTGTCTCTAGTTTAGTGGGTAGGGATGCATAAAAAGAATCCAATTACAAAACTATGAGGTAAGGTTCATGAAATAGGAAGAGGAAAACTTGTGCTACTCTCAAAATGTAGTGATGTCAATTTCAAGGAATTACAGCTGAACATTTTAGCTACAAAACCACCGTACTTTCCAGTCCATTCTCTTCTGATAATTGAGAATAAATTTCTTGGTAGCCATCTGGGTATGTAGATTCAGTTTCTCAATCAGAATTTTTGAAAGTGTTTGTTACTTCTTAATTTTTTGGGGTGTTTTCAAATTATTTTTTTGTGTGAAAAATAATGCAGGTGACAAAGAATTCTGGATTGCTGGCCCCAGGGAGTGGAACAAAATCCCTTGACACATCCGACTTGCATCATCAGTGTCTATTTTCAAGAAATGGCTTAAAACACATCTGTTTCTTTGAATCAAATTAGCCTCATCTTTACCTCTCAAATATCCCCTGGTTTTCTTGTCTTTATATTTTTTTCTTGTATATTTGTGGTTTGTTACAAGCTTTGATCTTTGTTACAAGCAATTATTTATCATTATTATTATCATACAACCAAAAAACGTCTTCAGAATAAAAATGAACCTTTCTACACATACATGTACAAGCTGATCTACAAATATCTAAGAACACTTCTGCGTAGCTGTACATGTACATGTATGTTGTACATGATTGACTTAAATTAGGAATTCCTCACATACGTACTATGTATTTTGCTACCCTGTAAATGAAGGCTCTGTGTACTTGTAATTAAAAGGTAAACGCTATCTGTTTGTTTTGTGTGAATGGTAATTACAAATGGCTAAAATGGAATTACCGGGCATTGATAGAATGTGTGTACACAATCAGTCTCTTCAACACACTGGTCAATGGAGACCGAGTTGCCTAGCAACAGTTGCTATGGGATACAGAATGAGCAATACTTCAAGATTTGGGAATGCCGTTCAATATCTAATAAAACTCTGAAATCCAAGATGCTGGAGAAACCTATCCATGTGTATTTGTATTCAGGGTAGACACATTCATAATAAGCGGTCATTGATTTTATGAACACAAATTTTTTTTTTTAACATGTACATGTACTTTTTTAACTATCAGAAAAAAAAACGATTACAATTCCATGATATTTTTGTCACAGAAAAATAACGTTTAAAATAAAAATGATTAAACGCGGAAAAAATCACAGAATTGTAATTACAGCTTTTAATCAATTTGCAGTTGGTTCTCATGTAAACCACATAACAAATTTGCAGCTAAATATAACAGATCTGCCTTTACACCCAACTATCCCCTAATGACTTATTAAATCAATAGGCAGCTAACGACATTAACTACGCATGGCCTTCCATGCCATGGGGCATGGTATCTCTTTAGATATGCTAATTGCCAACGAGCTGTGCCTCTGAGGCAGTTATTACACAGTGTCGGTTGAGTCCGTGAAGCGTGAAATGACGAGGGCTGGGACCTTAGGACAGCTCATGGTGGGGGGGGGGGGGTGCCTCCAGAAACATATCAAGCTGATCAAACAAACTTGGCTTTGGTCACAAATAACGAATGAATGTTGAGGGCTTAAGGCTTCTACGGGGAATGCTGTAACTCCTAATGCTATCATAGCATCTGGCTCTCCAGTAATAAAACACAATTTGTGTCATGAAAGAGTTCCTTGGTTTGATGTAGTCTTATGATTTTCTGCAGAATTCCATTTTTCCCCACAGCATTTTATCATTTCTGATAATTTGTTGGTTAGTTTTTTAAAGATGGGCATGTACTGTTTGTACTCTTCAATATACCGGTATTTGATTTTAATAAATACTCAATTTGTATGTTTTATTTAATGAAAATTGGAATTTAATGTGAGGTCTGCCACCCTCTGAAAAAGGCTTTTCTTAATCCGCGAGTAGACTAGTCCCTTCATTTTCATCCTGATAGGTTGTGGGAACCGGTCTACTCCACGTGAATAAATAATTGTCAGGTGACAATAACTTGTGTGAGCTGGGTTTTTTTTTCATTCGATATCTCATTGAAAAGTGAATAACTTTAATATTGCTTGAAAAATAGCAATTTAAACCAAAATCTCCTTTTGGGGATCAAACTTGAAAATAACAGGGACACTATCTAACTGTCCGTCACGCCAAACAAATGTACTGTACTTGATTTAATTATGTATATCATCAACTGACTTATACAATGTAAGTCTTAATCTCAATGTGTCATCATCTGTTATTTAGTGGTGCGTGTACAGTGCAGATGGATCTTTAAAACAAACTATGGTCCAAGTAATTGGCTGTGATGCAAATGGTGTTGGAATCCTCAGATCAGTGTGAATTGGAAGGTGTGATGTAGAATAGGTAAGGGTACAGCAACTGACCGACTGAGAGAATGATAATGATGACAAATGACATTTGAACATGGCACAAGCTACCGGTAGTGTTGAAGGGTAGGCCTACACCACGTTATGGGGAAGTTTTTTATTGTTAGGCAAATTAGGACCGAGTCATGGGGACTTTGTGCTGTCCCCACAGCATTTACGGTTGCCACAAATACTGGGTGCCAGTGTCATATGAAAATCGGACTCTTTTTCCCTTTTATTGGTTAAACCCTCTCACATGACCGGTCCCTCTCCTAACTATCTATGCATGAGCATGTGCAATACCACCAATGAGTCCGTATTTCATAAAACCTAAATTCATTCTACACCGGTACCTCGTACACACCAGTGTACCGGGTACATGTACATGTACATGTATGTCCCCTCAACTACAGAACACGACTGTGCTTGCTCGTATTCATACTCCTACCCATACTCCTACTTGAGTACATATTTACGCACTTGCACTCGTACATGTATGTCTAAATGCACTCATGAGAATGTACTCATACTCGTACATGTACTCGCAAGAGAAAACTTATCCGTACTCAACTCATACTCATGTAAATGTTCTCCCACTGGAATTAAAATTTTTTTTTAAAGAGGTATCGGTACAAGCACAGAAACAAAATTCTACTGTTTTATGAGGCTTTTACATTTGTCTAATGCCTAGTTTGACAGCTGAAAAAGCCCTGACGAGAACATGTTTACCCATTGAAATGTGCTTATATTCATGGAAAGTACTTGTACATGTACATGTACATTGTACGTGTGGAAGTGTACTTGTACAGTACTTGTGCTCACAGAAAAACATTGGTTTGTACGAGTTTCGTACTCGTACTCATGGAAAAGTACTAGTACTTGTACATGTACTACATGTATTTGTATTGAGAATGTGCCTTCAGTAAAGACCCAAAGTTTACATTTGATGTCAAATTTTGAAAAGAATCAGATGACCTACTACATGTATGAATTGTACAATTTTTGTCCATATCCTCTTTATCATGAAACTGTTCCAAAACAGACAACAATAAGTGCAATGGGATTACATATGAGCTTGTTATGGGTTAGGGTTAGGATTTGGGTAAGGATTTGGGGAAACATCGGTATTGGGGAACATACACGTAGGTACCAGTATTGGGGAACATAGGTATGCACCCATACCCGTATATGTGCATGTTATGGTAAACTAAAGACTGTTAGTTTGCAGTTGTGTTAGTTCAGAACATGACTTTACCTTGGGGTTGAGTCAATGCATATTTGGCTTTCTTTGCCACATTTTCCCTGTGCCAGTCACACAGCGTCTTTCTGCTGGGTCCCACACTGCTCAGCTTTTTCCCCTGGACAGTGTCAGCCTTTTTAACCTCTGACCCGGCAGTTTTGTTTTTGTCAAAACCTGGGCGGGTTGTGGTTTGGGGTTTAGTGCGAGAGGATATGGCTTTAGTTTTTGACGATGCAGATGAAGATGAAGACGTTTTCACCATTGTACCTGATAGCAGGAAGGGGGAGGGGGGACCAAAGAAACAGAAGCATTGGGTAGATGCAAGCAAACACAAAGGGAAATATCATTGCAAATATAAAAACAAAAGCATACCGGTACAGAGAGCAAAATGGAAGCATGCCAATATACTGCTGAGCTGTTCCATTCTTGGACAACTTTGTGTGCCACTGGAATTATAAAGTTTCCATAACAATTTTGGTGTAAATATGTAGCTTGCCAAGTACATGATGGCAATTTAATCCTCTGTAGTTTTGTACAATGTCATTTTACACATGCATTGTCTACATTGTACATGCATATAATTTTTAATCTGTATACTCAATTACAAACATATTCCTATAAGTTCCTGCTAGTGGAAGTTTACATTTGTATGCAATCCAACATACATTAATGCACTACTAAAGGCCCCATTTTCAGTTTCAGTGAAATGCATACACCACACATGCATATGATGTACTACATGTACATAACTGTCAGTTGTATTTTTCCTTTCCACACATTTTTGAAAAGTAAATGAACATTTCTATGACAGTGTTTCCCTCAATTCCCTAATGTAGTTCAGCACGTACACATCCAGCAATCACCAATCCAAACCCAAAAGACAAACATTTCCTTCAGGGGTCGTCTTCCCGTGTTAAAAGGGGGCAACCAATCAGTTCTCTCGGTGGTGACTCGTACGTGCGATGCACGCTAAATTGACACTCACACGAACCATGTGCGTTATGAGCCTCTAGGCTCTTTCTGACTCAGACACGGGGACCTCCGCGCTTCTCTTACAAAAAAAACCCGACATCGCTATCAATCATTAGGAGCCAGGAGCGAATGCCTCAAAGCGCGGCCGAACGCTTCCCAAACCATGAGAAAATTAGGAATCTGTTCACTGCACTTAGGAAGCCTCGGGCGGCACTCTGGAATGAGTGAAGAAGCCAGCTTGAAATGAAGGAAAATGAGCAACATTCACAGCCGCACAACAAATTGGATGATACATTTTCACTGCTCATAAGCACGAATGTGACTAAACAGCAGACTGAAAACAGCAAGGCAAAAACCCAGGATACATGTAGAGTCTGACAATGTTTAAGATGCGAAATGAAATAATTGCATTGCACTATACAGTTCATTTATGCTCTTGTACTGTATTTTATGTACAACATATGGGTTTGATGTGATACACTTGTCAATGACAATAAGGACCATTAGAAACGTCGCCAGTACAGGATACTTACCATTTAGTTTGGTAATTTACGGTTAGTCCCAAATTTCTACATCTCAACATTTTGATGCAAGATGCACATTTCTGATAGCATATATAACCACACAGAATGCTAATTAAATACCGGTAGGCAACTTTTTCTGAGCCACACAGCCCAGGTAACCCACACTCCAACCATAATGGTCAATATTGATTTGTGGAGTAAATGCAGCATGTAGATGTATGTTTAGTTGTTTACATGTGAAGAGTTTGTGTCCAAAATGCGATAAACGCCATCTTTATTGTTACCTTTTAGATTCTCATCATCTTCTGGTTGCCCAAAGTCAATTTTGACATCTGTTTTATGGTTAAATACAATTTAAGAATACATTTAAGCAAAAAAATCTAGTTTAGAAACAGCTGTAATATTGTGTATGCTCCGGGTGCAACTTTTTCACCGTTTTTCGGTAAACTACAGATCTGCTATTTTGCGGTATCTAATGAGGGTACACATGACCCAATGAGGAATTTCATCAACAATATACATGTACAGGTAAGCATTGAGCTTTAAAAACGTACAGTTTCCCTTAAATCTGTGTATTTTGTTTAATTTTTTTTTCAAAATAGCCTCACAGATACATAATGCATTACTTTTCAATGAGTCTTTTGTGATAAGGATCATTTTCTTTTCACGACTAATAAAACATGAATAGGGGGCACGCATTAATGATCCCAACGTGCATAAAATGTAAACTATGTGTCTCGTACGACCCACTCAGATTACTCTTGTTACTAATCATGTGCAACTTGCGACCTGAATCCCGATTTAATTTAATTGGTAATTTGCAAGGCTCATAAATCAGAAGCTCGGAATGAAGTCATCACTGGAACGACGTCCAAGTAGAATGATTGATTGCTTAGACGAGACGGGGAAAACTCTGCGCGGTATGGATCAAAGACGGCCGTGGCTTCATACAGTGGTTTGGTCAATACCAAAGGTGATCTGAACATCAATATTCATTTCCTATCATTGGATGAATAAAATATTGACTTGACAATCAGAATGTTGAATCAACTGTGCATTTTCTATCACTCAGCAAACACAACCAGGATGATTCTTTTCCGCATACATTGTAAGAGGTTAACAAATGAAGGATATTTATAAGAACCACCTGCCGTCCACACCGAGCCTTTGGGGGAAAGCACTGGGCCCAATTTCAGGGCTCTGTTTACTATTAGCGAAAGAACCCTGCTCACTGTAGCAGAAAATTCTGTGCTTACGGTAAGCGTATATCATGGGTTAGAGAGGAATTTTGGCTTATATGCATGCCTACCGGTACATCCCGTAACTAAGGATTATGTGGTTACAGAGTTACATGTAGCACAGAACTTTTATGCTAGTGCGGTTAGCACAAAATGGTGATTGTAATTGCAGAATGTATTTCAAACTTGTTTGCAGTATTGTAGCCTGATGTACAGTTTTGTAGGAGAAACTCTTAAAATCATATCCACTTTCAAGTTGACTATATAAACACCATGCACATAAAAAGTTCAAGGATGAGGTAGAATTTCTAACTTTCAAAACTTCTTTTTTTATGTTATCTGAAACTGTCAGCAGGCTTTAATGCCTTGACAGGGTGAGTAAAAAAAAAACGGAACCCAAACCCCAAAAATTATATTTCAAATTCAAAACAAATATGTGGCACCGAAAATAATGACTGGAAAGCCAGTTTCATATTTTTCGATGAAAAAAAATTTCTGAGATTGCTCAATCCATTGAAAGAATATCACTATTTAAACACAATGACCCTAAAACCTCTTTTGTCCCAAAATGTGATTTCAAGAATCATCGTCACAATTGTCTTCAAACATCACCAGCGATAAAACAGTCAGAATACACAATAATTGCTTTTTTTTGTTGGACGAAACAGGTTTTAGGGTCACTGCATTTAAAGGGTGATATTCTTTGAACTTGGCTTTCCAGTCATTAGTTTTGGTGCCACATATTTTTTTTTAAATATGAAATATATTTTTGGGGTTTGGGTTCCACTTTGTTTGACTTACCCTGTGGGATCATTTGCATTTATACAAAAAGTACCGGAAACCATCGAAATTGTTATATTGTTCGCCTGTCTTGCTGTAATTTAGAAATCAAGAAATGTAGGTGATTTCAAATCAGTCAATTGACTGATTTGGGGAAACAAAGAGTGCTAATTGATGAAATTGTGTTTCATGATCAAAAGGTTATGCAAGATTTTTCACTGTTTTCTCAAAACTTTTAATATTCACTGAGCTGAACCTTCAACAGATTAGGTTTAGAGCGTTCTTCTTCGGAGTTTGGGTGGTGTTATTGTTGGAAACAAACAAAATACGTAAAAAGCGAATGATCCTTTGTCTTTAAACAGGTTGGTTGTTGAAGATGTGTTGCATCTTCTGAACTGCATACATGTGTAGCTTCCCATTGTTCAACATCTAATGACCCACTGTGTGCTTGATTTGACCCCCCCCCCCCTTTCCTACCACCAAAGCTAACAAGCCATGCACTCACTGAGAAGCTCAAGTCTCTCCTTGGCCATCTCCAGATTGGTCCTCATCTTCTCCCGCCCCCCTCCCTTACCCTACAACCCACCAAGCTAACAAGCCATGTACTCACTGAGAAACTCAAGTCTCTCCTTGGCCATCTCCAGATTGGTCCTCATCTTCTCCTGCCCCTCCCTTCCCCTACCACCCACAAAGCTAACAAGCCATGCACTCACTGAGAAGCTCAAGTCTCTCCTTGGCCATCTCCAGATTGGTCCTCATCTTCTCCTGCCCCTCCCTTCCCCTACCACCCACTCACTGAGAAGCTCAAGTCTCTCCTTGGCCATCTCCAGATTGGTTCTCATCTTCTCCCGCCCCCTCCCTTCCCCTACCACCCACAAAGCTAACAGGCCATGTACTCACTGAGAAGCTCAAGTCTCTCCTTCGCCATCTCCAGATTGGTCTTCATCTTCTCCCGTAGTCGCTTTGCTCTATCCCACTCCTCACCTAAGCAAGTGAATCAACAACACAAGACAAACATACTTGAGAACTCCATTATTTAATGCTACATGTACATGTACATGTACCGGTACGTTCACACATTCCCGAATTATTGCCACAAAGACCGAATAAGCCAAATGTAATAAGAACATTCCCGAACAACCCCGAACTAAGCCGATTTCAATCAGAGCAAGCCAGAATCATCCAGAATGAGGCTGAATGCAGGCGATCCCGGTATATAAACTGATCCAGACAAATGCTCATCGTCAGTCAGTTCCAGTTTGCCGAGCAGCGTAGATCTCAAAATCATTCGGGACTATTCTGGATTAACTCGTATTAAATTCTGCATGATTCTTGGTTATTCTTAATAAATTTTAAGGAAAATCTGGATTTAATTCAGCATTATTCGTGATTAATTCTTGCTAAGTTCTTAGGTTATTCTGATTTATTTTTTAACAAAATCTTAGTATATTCGTAAGTTATTCTTAATAATATTCATACATTCTTGATACATAAATTTGTAATGATTCGGCATAATTCTGGATTGTTACTACCAAAAAAAACTCTACGAAACTCGTAAGAATGCTGTGTAAGAATATCCAGAATTACCGGTAGTTACGAATACAACAAGAATAAACCAAGAATTGACATTGGTTCCCGAATGACCCTGACAATTTTGAACATGTCCAAAATTGTCAGGGCGCTTCCCGATCTTTAACAATCTTCTACCGAACTAACAGCTAGGATTATCCGAGGCAGCCAAGAACCATTCCCCGATTTACTCAAGAATTGCTTTTCACGGCAATTCGGCTTAAAATTCGGGAATGTGTGAACCTAGCATTACCCAACTCTGCGTAGATTTATTTAGTGCAACTCAAACATTTACAATTTTGATGAGAAGACATACATTTCTATTTTTCTGGTGTGAAAAAGTTGCAGTTTGTTCAGTTGCTATTTATAAGAGTCATATTTTATTGGCCGGCACTTAATACCTAAGTACTTATTCAAATTTAACCCTGCAAGACAGTCTCAATATTTCACGTCTGTGACAACACAATCATAAATGGCACCTGAAACAAGACTTGGAAAACCACGGGTTTTGCGATCCAGTGAGAGGAAAAGACGCAAAAAAATAGCAGGGATTATGATAGACTGTAGGCACTGTAGTGTAGCCAGGATGGTCTGGCTGCATGTTTACATACCTACATAATCACGCGGGAGTGTCGTGAGCCGGCTGCGATAATCCAGTAGCCGGACTAGGTGAATAAAAAACGTGCGATTCAAAAATTAGCATAGCTGAAACGTCACTAGATATGAACATTTATTGAATTTCGCTAAAATTTTTCTGAACTGAAGTGCGCCATTAAAAACAATATTTAACTGTAAAAAGGCATGCAAATGCAAACAAGCAATTTTATTTGTTACATGACATATTTGTTATATTCCTAAAAAAAACTGTTTGGGAAAGAAAATTTAAGTTTTGAAAAAGCATGTTCCGGCCTTGTGCATGCATTTGGTAAATATACTTTTATGTACAAAATCTGCTTGTTATAAAAGAGGGAGGATCCACATCGGTTACTCATAAAAGTGTCAAAATAAAACAAGTAATAAAAAGCATGGAATAATGATTTTGAATTAAAATAGGTGTAGAGTATACAGAGGTATGGAATCACAACAATTTGCACTCTTGCAATTTTACAGGTTTTTTATAAAGTTTGTCAAAATCTTTCACACTAACAGACTTAAACAACATGAGTCATGAGAGTCCATTACTTTCCAGATGAACAGACCGGAGTTTAAACTGATTTGCACCTAATTGGATCTGCTGGAAGTAACTGCAATCCCAAACAAATTATGACTTGATCGTCAAACGCTGCCTGATTGGATAAGTTAAACAAAATCTGCCCAAGTGGAAACAAATCAATACAAATGACTACAAACAGAAATGCACGTACATGTACGTGTATCAGCCTGCAAGAATCTGGTACTTTTTTTATTCTGCATTTTATTTTTGCATTTTTATGTTTCTTTATGGGCAAAAGTCCAAAACACACTTAACGTACATGTAACTACATGTATTCAAAATGTAGGTTCTTTATTTGTACTTTTTAGCAGCAAAGATTCTGCAATACTTGAACATTTTATTTGTGAAAGTAATCATGCTGAAAGTAATCCAAACTCCCAATATGCCCCATCACTGATTCTGAGAAACAGGATCTTTAGGTTAACTAGTGCACGGAATTATGTAAGGGAATTTATTCAAATAATAAACTGAAATGAATTTTAGTTTGACTTGCAATTACATGTAGCTACTGGATTTTTTTTTTAATGTACAGACTATAGACAAATATTACTGTGTGAAAAACTGGATGATTCCTGATGCTTTCTGCACAGTACGCAGTACGGACGCATAATAAGCTACTTTTGTACCAAGCAAACACACGCTACACTGACAAACTGGATTACAGCCAATAGGATTGACATTCAAATCCCTCACTAATCCTGGCAGATCATTTCAGTTCAGTAGACAGTGATGTGTAATGCACAGTATAATGGGAGGGGGAGAGGGGGAGGAGAGGGGGAGGGGAAATTCAAAAACAGGAGGGGTGATTATTAAACAAAGGTGTAGCTTATCAAGACATTAAAAGTCAGCATCCCGTAATACTTTTTCTAGAGAGAGACACTACATTGTAAGAGGGGTTGACCAAGCACAATCATGATGCTGATGGAAATCATTTCCTGCTCAGTTTTGGATGGATTGGTGGAGTTAGTGGTGTGGGGTTTCTCCAAGAATCAGGCCAAGTACTTTTCTTGTTTCCATTATATACATTTTCAATAAATTCTTCTATTTATTGCACATATTTCTATGCAATTCCTCTTTTCATTTCTCTTTTCTTTTATCATTTCATGAATATTACAGAGACAATTTCCCCCTCGGAGGAGACTGTCAATAACCAACAGCCAAGAATGAACCCAAATCTACCCCCACCCCTCCACACTTTCTCCAAAGACAGGCTATTATAAAGTCACACAGAGTTTTCATTGATGGTATGAATAACATGACTCATGCTTTGATTTCAGAGGGACGGAGACAAAAAATGCAAGATTGGATGATTTGACCAGGTTGGGCCGGCTATCGCATTCAGCTTTCATTTCCTGAAGAAGCCCATCTCACTGAGATGAGACGATAAGAACAACTCCTTGAAGAGATTAGTATTCACTTCTCAATGCAACGATCATCAGGATATGAGGAATTAGGAATGCGATCGGGTCTGGAAAAATAACAATGAGATGTCAAAATTCGGTCTCAGGTTTCTTGTGCTGGTATATATGTAATGGATGTGGAGCTGAATCTGATGAAAATGTAATGAAAATATTTGTTTTATAAATTCGAGATTTAGTTACAAGAAAAAAAGTTGGAAACAATGCAAATAAAATAAAGCAGAAGAACTACCGGGTACTGTACTGTACATGGACTTTTCATTAACCTGATATATGTGTAGGAATGTCAATTACATTGTTGTAGACAGCCTACATGTAGCCCAACACTCAATGTCAGCAGAGTAGAAAAAGAAAAATCTTTTGTGTTTTTCATTTACACCATTTGTTCACAGGTTTTGGTTTGTTGTTTTTGGTTTTTTTTTACATAACGCTGCTTCCGGTTACCCTACCTACCCTATTTTGACAGCCCCTACCCTAATCTTTTTCTGGGAAAAATTAGGAAAACCCCCCGAAAATCATCAATTACTACCTTTTACCCTTGACTACATGTACACGCAGACACCTCCATATGATTGTACACAAAAAAAAAGCAAGAATTCCCTACCTACAATGTACCTACATTGTACATATATACATGTACCCTATTTTCAAATGCCATGTAATCAGAAACAGAACTATATTTTTTGTTGGCATAATGTACAAATGTAGGCCAATAATGTACACCCCATAATCACACCCACTTTTTTAAATACATGTACGTACTCTATTCAAATTCATATACCCGTATGTGCCTGTTTTTTCCAATAACATTTCAGAATACCGGTAGGCGAGGCCCTACATTAGTTCAATCATCCATGTTACTTTTTAAATACATTCCACACTAATGGTATTTCACAATGATACTTTACCCATCCACACTACAGTAATTATTAGTTGACTTGATGTTTTAATACATGTAGTTCAAGTGATTCATTTAATATATTTTTTTGGGAAGCACATGTATGCTTTTCTGTCATCTTCAACTTTGGTTGCTAATAATTACTTTGATGCTACAAATTAAATGCATTGAGCATGCACTGTAAGTCCATCAGATCTCTCCAACAGTAATAAACTCAAGTAGAACAGACACTACTGTCTCCCAACATTACCCAAACCCTACTTCAAGCGGACATGGGCTCTTTAAGATCTTCCCAGATCAACTGGCTGTGTTTGGAGAGGATCAACCATAGACCTCATCTTGTCTTCTCCAAACCCCAGGCTAAGCATGTTTGTGTAGCCAAACCCCACCCCAATCTCCAGGATAGGAAGTGTTCTAACAACACAAGCCTCTCAGGATAAAGTGCCTAATCCCGTCATGCCGTCCATCCTGGGTGGGGAGGGTTGTTGTCGGAGGTTGGGCAGGCAGGGAGTCTCTCCCCTCGGGCTGGGTGAGTCACTGTCAAGATAGCAGTCAATACTCTAAGGCTGAGTAACTTGAGGGGGGGGGGGGATGTGATGGGCTTTATCGGATTAGAGAAGCCCCCAGGATTGTGAAGGATAGGATGCAATGATTTGCAGATGGACAATGTCATGAATAACATCTTGAGCCATCTCAAGATGTCAGGTGCCAGCATCAAAGATCTAAGGATGCTCGGCTTTGATGAGAGATGAAATGATGCAAAGCCTGCTTCAGTGAAATCAAACTACCAGTATGAGCAAGTTTTAAATAATTATGCATACACGTACAAAAAATGTGTCCTACACGTACGTGCCATACCACTGTGGAGTTAGAAGATGGACCATGTCATAATGATGTCAACACTTTCTCACCTTACATATTGAGTTTGAGAACAGCCAGAATGTCAATGCAGCTACACGTAAAATTGTTCAACCCTAGTCTCAGTGCAAGATGCAGAGTTGTTCATGAGCGATGATACACCACGCAGAAGCCTGCAATATACATCGCATATTGTCCTGATAGAGGGCATTCTGTTCCAACCCACAAACCTGACTTTGTCAAGAAACTGCACATGGCTTGTTGGCATTTTTGTAAAGCGCTTCCGCCTATTGAAGTGAATCGCTACGCAGTCCACTAACCCATGCATGCTGAAGCACTGCATCGCTATAAGAACGTCTTGAAACCAAGACTAGTTAAACCCTGACATACATGTACCGGTAGGTGAAATGATTTTATGTGCCATAAACATTTGAACTGTATTTAGTGTCTCTGCCTACATTTTGTAATTTTGAGCCTGACCAATCAGGGAAGGGCAAATGGTCACGGTACACTGTACACAGGGACCAATGATATCTCAGAAGCTGGAAGGCTAGAGCCCGTCCTTTAATTTGGTCATGTTGCCAGTCTATGGGGAGCTTCATTTCACTGGATGGGAGCAAGGCCAAGCAAAATACATGCAGTTTTAATGACTTCATCCTGTTTCTCAAAAGGACATGATGTGTCCCTTAAGATTATATCCAAGATGTGCCCTTGAAGACATTGATGAAGAAAAAAATATGTAAAAACAGGACAGTGAAATTTTACAGTTACATGTAGTACGGGACTGTATAATATGCACGATGAGTGCATACATATTCTAATCCTTCCAGTGCATTTCCATGTATTGTGATGTTTTATCAAGTTCCACTTGACCATGTTGACCTACAGTACTGTAATTCATTAAATAATGCCACATACTGTATGTACTGTAATGAGGATATCAAAGTCCCCATCTAGACGTACATTTTGTAATGTATACATCACAGCATAATGACAATCAAACCCAGGAATTTTTGGAAATTACAAATGTCTGCATTGGTTCAAAATATGTTAGAAATTTGATAAATCTTGGAAAGAATTGTTTTGACCATTCAAATGAAACGCTACCATACACATGTAACGGTACGTACATGTATGGTGTACTACCGTACCTGACTGCAATGTACATGTACATGTACAGTACAGTACATTTTGTAATATCTACATGTCCATGTACATGTACAAGCAAGTGAAATATTGAAACAACCAAAAGAAGTTCAGTATGAAGGATGCATCATGCAATCAAACCCTACATACAGCAGTCGGCCTGAAACACAATCTATGTCCAAGCACAGCACCTCCTCCCACGGCTGGTCTAACGTCATTGAAAGCACCGGTAAGGTTTCACCACAATCTCATGCAGATACTCAGAGAGCCCCAAAAAGCCAAAGGCAATGATCAATAGGGCACAGAAAGGGGTGCCAATAAAGTGCTTGAATCATAAGAGAAGTAAAGTTGCTACATAAGGACCTATACAAGACATGAGTGTGGTGGGTTTATCGAGACACACAATTTTCCAAATCATTTATATGGTACCACCTTCTCTGAGTTCTCATTCAGACATTTAAAGTTTCTGATGACATATTTGAATGGAAAATAAGTTTATGGTACATGTACCGTACATATTCTTTTTCTTTTTTTTACTTTCAATACATGACCAAAACATACTGAAGGTTTCAGGGCTTACCGGTACCAACAAAATACGACATCAACCTTAAATTCACAATCAATTTAAACTAATCTGGAAAATTGTGCCATTCACCTTTTCACCAACATTCGCCCTTAGAAAGAAAAACAGGACAAGCTTGGGCAGCTGTTGTGACTCAATAATACTTGTGCATATTTTGAAAATATTGGAAAATTTTCTCTTTGGACAATTAAATGAGAAAATTGTATCTAGAATCCTCCAAAATCCTCCACTTTGCAGGAAAGCAAATGATATTCTTTCTACATAAACTTTCAAGGGGTAAATCAGGCCCCGTGTAAATTAATAGTGACTGGACTACATCTTTCTCAATCCTGCAAAATCCTGCAAAATCCTGCAAAATCTCCAAGTGGCTTTGGAAGGATATTCAGGCCGTTTCACACTATCCAAAATCTCTGCGCCGGAGCTGGGTTTAACCCCGAGATTACTCAAAATCGATTCACACAAGCTAGAATCCAACGCTGCTTCTACACGGGTACAGTGCTCTACACGGGTAACAATGCAACGCTGATCGGGACCAGGATTCAGAGGCTCAACTCAGATAAAACTACAAAAATAAAAAATCAACGACCGACCTGTTTGTGCTTCTGTTAGCCCATGTTAGAGGGGACCAAGTTGCGTTCACAGTGAATCCACGTTGATTTCAAAACAGGTCTCAGGCAAAAAGAGAGTCTACAAAGGTTCTTAGAGGATTACCGGTAGGTGTTTAAGGACCAATAAGTGTGCATACTCTACCTGGTTTTTCACAGTCGATGACGATGCCATTTTCCAATTCATTGATGCCCTTTTTATAATAGTCCAGTGCCAACTTCTTGTTTCCTGTAACGATAACAAAGTGAAAATTGTTACAATTTATAAACTGAATACACAAAAAATGTACGGTGCATATTGTGCAATTCATACTTTGATCAGCACTGCATGTCCACTGTTAGCTTGTGAGAATGAAATTCACAAGCTTAAGGCCAAGAAAAAAATACTTCTGCTTCTGATTACATGGCATTCGATAAAAGGGTAGGTGGGTAGGGAATTTTTGGAGAGGGGTGCCCAATTTTTTTTTGTACGATCATATGGAGACATCTGCATGTACCGTAGTCAAGGATAAAAGGTAGAAATTGATGGTTTTGGGTGTTTTTGTTTAAAAAATTTAGGGTAGGGGGTGTCAGAAAAGGGTAGGTACTGGTACATGTAGGGAAACCGGAAGCAGAAGTTGTTTTTTTTTTGGCCTAATCAGTTGGCACTTGAAAACTTGAATCTTTTTCAGCTGCATGAATTTTGGAAAGTTTTGTATTACTACTCGACCATCAAGCTTGCCTCAGGTCCGTTGGCCAGTTTGAATCAGATACAGCATTACACAATTAACAATTTCATGAAATTTATATATTTAACAAAAAAGAACAAAAAAAAAAAAAAATAAAGCTATTCTTTTCAATTCATTTAAATTGTTTGGTAATTTTAACCAACCTTTTTACACACACAAAAATTGATCTATACTTGTACATAAGAAAGTTGGGTTTCTGAAAACATTGTCCACTGCTTTTCAATGAGAAGTCAACAACAACAAATAATACATGGTATCCTGAACCATCTGAAATGCCCAATCATGCGTTCAATTACATAAAGGCCCGCCAACCAATATGGTGGTTACTGCATCCTAATATTAAATTTCATTCCAATCAATATTCACTCCTGTGTACGGTCTACACAGACATGCCTGTACACTTACTTGTAATCAAGCATTAAGCCTTAATTAACATGTCAAACTCTACACAGCAATTTTGACTTGAAAAGGTAATTTTAGCAATTTAATATGACATGACGGCACGAACTAGACAAAAGGGACATGACATACATAAAAATGCACAAAGATGTACACTTTGGTTCAAGAGCAAATTCTCTGATTTTCCAGTTGAAAAATGTTTCTTTCAAAATTATCATTCTCAAATTCCTTTTTATATAAGAGCACAAAAAGATCAAATTCAAATTTTGTATTATCATGGAGCCAAGTGAAATACATGTACATCTGAACACATTTTTGGTAAACAAAAGTTTGGTAAAGAATTCAAAGAAAACCAAAATTCTCAAACAAATAAGATATTTCAGATTGAATGTACCCGGCATTTGTACGTTTTATAACATGTTTTGTACATTTTTTGTATGAATACAGTTAAATGTTGAATTTTCTTAAAACCTGTAAATATAGGAGGATTTTGTAAATACTGTCCATTTTTTAATGAAGTAGAATATCTTGTCTTTCAAATGCTTCCAAAGATCAAGATGTCAACTGGAAACTAAATTAATGGATGCAAGCAACCCTGTGAAGACCTTCAATAAGTAATGAGTAAACTGACCGCTCAACCATCCATCTTCTCATTCACAAGAACCCTTGATGTATACCGGGAAGAGTAAAAAAGCATCAATGAGTCCACGGCTGAGCGATGATTCAGTGTGTGTGGCATTCACATGGGAATACTACCCCTGGTCAGTGACACAAAGCCATCAGATGTGCTGCCAAAGTGTATACAGTGGACACCATCAACATTTTCCATTGACTTTTTTTTAATAAATCAAATATTTATTGGGGAACAGTTAATTCAAAATGTTGCCTTTGATCAGATGTAACATAGCCTACATGTAGTGCTTTGCCTTTGATCTGATGTGACATACTTTGCCTTTGGTCTGATGTGACATAGCCTACATGTAGTAGGCCTACTTTGCCTTTGATCTGATGTGACATACGGTACATGTAGCCTACATGTAGTACTTTGCCTTTGATCTGATGTGACATAGCCTACATACATGTACATTTGTACATGTACATGTAGTGCTTTGCCTTTGATCTTATGTGGCATGGTCCTTATTCACGAGTCGGCCATATTGAATTGAAAGTTAGGTAAAATCTTAATTTTTGGAACTTGCAAAAAGAAATTAAAGCAAGTTAATTTATAATACATTCCAGTCTGCTTCAATGAATAATTTAAAATTTGTAATCAAACATTCCCTAATGTTTGTAATCAACATTCCCTAATGTTTAAGCCATATTTAAAAAAAAAAGAAAGAAAGTAAGGCCAAAAAAAAAAATATTCAGTCTCTGGTCAGACCAAAGGTCCGGAATTGACGCGCCACGCAGCTTCTTTTTTTTTTTTTTTTTTGCTTTTTTTTTTGCTTTTTTTTTTTGTCTTCAAGGATTGTATTGTACAGACAAGGTGGGTACTATTTTGCTTTTTTGGTGTCCTCATGTACATTGGTGTCCTCCATAATTTGCCTTGGTGCTTTCGATCATTTGCCTTGGTGCAATTTCCCATTCCTTGGTGCTCTTTGGTAAAAAAAATTGAGGAGGTGCGGAAATAGAGGGCGCTGTTGGAGCTACCGTGGAACATTTTGGAAAAAAAAAGATTGACGCGCGCGCTGATGAGAGACCGACTGATTTTTTTTTTTGGCCTAATATAAGGCTGTATAGTGCCTGTAGTCTGGTGCCATCCCATTACACAGTTAACAATTAATGAAATACATTCAGGGAACTCAACAAAAATGGCCAACTTATGAATAAGGCCCATAGCCTACATGTAGTGCTTTTTATTATTGAGCTTGATTTAACCATGGAGCTATTAACCCAAAACATCTCTTTTGTCAACATTCAAAGAGTAATTTAAGAATATCAGCTCCTTGTTACTGACTGCAATTTGCAATCTGTTCAAATGGAATTTAAAAAAAAAAAAAAAAAATTACAAATGCGACATATTTGGTAACATTAAATGCTCACAAAATCTGGGAAAAATTCTGCAAATTATGATATTAAATACCAGAGCACACTCAGCACATGTGGGAAACAGAGAAAATATCTAGGGGGACACATGGGGTTTAATTAAAAGGGGGCATGTGATGACCAGGCACTGAACTAAAGAAATATGTATGGACTCCTGTGCAAACCTGTTTACTTTTTTATCATCTGAAAAGTCTCTCGAGAGCAAAGAGTAGCAAATTCAACACTATACTATTACTAAATATGACATGAAACAATCTATCCGAGCATCACCAATTTCTGATGTGTGCAGTTTCTGTTGTGTGCATGTATGGTGCACACATCATACATATACGGTAGATACCGGTAAAAAAAGTTTACAAAAAAAAGAGAAAAGAATAGAGTGTACATAAATGTACATTGGAAAAAAAATCAGTTACAAGTACCAGTATAATTAACACCAGTCAATGTACAAGTATGAGGCACACTACAAAATGAGTATACACTGGTAATTGAATGAATGAATTTTTTTTTTAATACATACATGTACATTGTACACGACCGTACACGTACCGTACACGTACATTTATGTTACTATTAGGTAAATTTAACAAATCAGTAATTCACAGCAATCGTGTCTGAAGAGGTGACTTGTCACTCAATGGGTTCAATGACTTGTAGAAACCCGAGACCTGTCAGCACTCAGTGTACATTGCGTCAAATGCTCGGACAAGCTCAAATGGTAAGAGTTGTTCACAATGCCTTTGTGAATCACCTTGTTTTTACACTTGCATAGCTAAATTTCCTTATGTACGGTACCGGTACCGGTACATGTACGTTTGCCATGAGTGTCAACATACTGGCTTGAAATGACTTTTTACTCCAGAATGGCACTGTTGGTTCACTAAATGATAAAAAAGCTACATTTTTAACCAGTTAGAAGTAGCGACAGTGTTGAGAACAAAACAGCCTATATATACGTACAGGTTGAGTCAAAAAAACGAAACCCAAATGTCGGGACTATTGCTTTTGTGAAGTTCTGCATATAGCACTTTCAAAATCTAGGATATGAAAGCCCAATTAATAAACTTTGTTGTAGTACAAGAATCACTCAAATCACTCATGTACTTTTCAAGTTACGGAATTTTAAACACAACCACGGTTTTAAGGTTCTGTCAATGGATCACAACAAAAGTTCAGTGTTTTTTCAGCAAAACGAAAACAAATCACATACATGTAGGAATGTGTGTGAATTGTTTTTGTTTTGCTGAAAGAACACACACCTTTTTTGTGATCTGTGGAAAGAACTTTAAAACGGTGGTTGTGTTTAAAATTCTGTAACTTGAAAAGTACATGAGGGATTTGAATGATTCTTGTACTAAAAAAAAAAAGAGCTGACTTGGGCTTTCATATCCTAGATTTTCAAAGTGCAACATGAAGAACTCCACTAAAGCAATAGTCCCAATATTCAGGTGTTGTATGAAATTACTGAGTGTCATGCAATGGAAATAATAATTTCATTCAGTCACTTCATGAAATTATGTTACCATTGCACTAATTTATTCATTGTAGATTGTATTCACAAAGTTCTTTATTTGGGTTTCTACATCTACATTATTTGGGTTTCTAAATCTACATGTATGCACACGTACATGTATAGTTTTATAGATACATCCAGTACATGTAAATGTATTTTGTCATGTTTGTACTCTTTCGGGCCAGCTTGATACAATTTCCAAAACTGTGATCATTCCTGCCTCATTGGCACCAATTGAATGCTTCGATACCATTCCAGCTTTCTTGATATCTTTTAAGTACTCTGTGATACATTTCTGACCAGTTTGATACAATTTCCCTCAACTGTGATACCATTCTAGTGATTCTAGCTGTCTTTGTATCTTTTAAGTACTCTGTGATACATTTCTGACCAGTTTGATACAATTTCCCTCAGCTGTGATACCATTCTAGTGATTCTAGCTGTCTTTATATCTGTTAAGTACTCTGTGATACATTTCTAACCAGTTTGATATAATTTCCCTCAGCTGTGATACCATTCTAGTGATTCTAGCTGTCTTTATAT